TTAAGTTTTAGGTTTTAAACCACAATGACACTCTCACGAGGCCTGACAATGCACTTCGTGACGAAGCACCTCTGGACCACATGCGATACGAACTCGACAGGACTTTGACACAACTGACAGACAACACTGACATTTTACGCACGTACAATGACAGAAGGCGCCTTCATTAGGTGGTGGGCGGTGAGCACCATCGATGTGACTGTGGCACTAGTGTCCTTATTGTGTCTTTTTAGTGTTCCTATTATAAGTGTATCTTATGTGTATCAAGGTGAAAATATAATTCAGTCTTACTTCAATGAGTCATTACTTCAGTTGTGTTCTCCGTACCGAAAGATGTTTTCCAATAGTAATGCACAATTTGTATCTTCTAAAACTCAAAAAAAAAAATGTATTGTGCTCTTCAGTCTTCTCCGACGATGAGATAAGATCTCGAAACGTTAGAATGAAAAGAGCGACGAATATATAAGTAATTTTGTGCGAACCATCCTTATCTAATAGATGATGCCAATTTAAAATCCCGGAAACTAGACCGATGCGTCAAAAAGCTCGTAAATGCTGAGATAGCAGTTATTTTTAATCAAAAGTGTTTAAAGGAAAGGATTTTGCCATATTCTGCCATTCTGCCATTATTCTGTCATTACGGACCCTTTTATTCAAATGGCACTCTCTGTCGCTGCGGCTTGCTGACTCATCGGCTTGATTGCAAGACTATGTTCCAATGCATCAGCGTTCGTCATGTAAATGTTTGGCTCAGGTTTTGCTAACAGCTTTCCCCATCAATTCATGGTGCTGTTCTTAGCATTAATGACATGCCCTCCATTTCTGCACGTGTGAGCCTGTCCTGCCCTAATTTCCTCAAAGTCGCTAGTGATTTCCACGATGGTGTCAAGCAGGCTTTGGTGTCTTACATGCTTGACCAAAGGATTACGTGGCTCTCGACTTTTGTGCGTTATGTGAACACTTAACTTTAGTTTTAGCTAACGCTATCGTCATCGGTTTGTGGCGTTCCTTGTTAATGTGAAAGAGACTCGGTAATGGAGCTGGACGAGTGATGCGATCAACACAGTAAAGCAAGGTCATTCACGGGAGGACCAACATTGGGTTGAGTTGTCATGGCATATCGTAACATTCCGTGCCATTCAACAGAAGAATTGGCATGTATAGGCATGTCTATATATCCATGTTTCCTAACTCAGTGAGTGATAAGATGACAAAATACTTTGCCAAATGCATTATGAATTGAAAGCCCTTACGGTGACTTCGCGACCTTCAATATCCGATTTTCGTCCAGGTGCACGCGATTCAACCGATGATGCTGCATAAAAAAATGGCTTACAGATGAAGCTTAACGACGTTGGAATGCTAAACAACGATTGTTTGACGGTACTCAGCATTTCGAGCCGTACTCATCATCAAGAGCATGGTTGCTCAATCTATCGGCTCAACAGCGACAAGAGTACAGACAGAGGCCGATGCAAACTGTGGTCACGGAATCTATGGTGAAATGACGAAACGTGCACCCGCCGGAAATATTGCCATTGCCGGCTTCGTTCAGCCATTATTCATCCACTTATTCATTCATCCCATGCCGAAAAGGGTGAGCCACAACCACGATCAAACGCATTACCCGAAATTCTTGCTTTGCTAAATGTCAAAGAAACTGCACATATCGAAAAAAGAATCATTTGAACGGGTGCGATAAAAGAACGCAAGAGATGCATTTTTTTCAACGACTCCCATTGGCTTCGCGGTAGTGTTTTGGATTCATTTTAAAATCTGACAACGCAGGAACATTGCAGCCGCGTTGACCAATGGCGGTGGAGAAATAAAGGAAGATCTGGCATTTACAGTGATGGCAAGTGCAGTTTTGTGAAATTTTTGGGATGCCTAACAACGCTCCAACTGTAGTGCAAATCTGGAGAGAAAGCTTTGAAAGCTGGACAATCACTGAGCTGAGTAAAAAGAGGGCGAGGGAGGGCGTGGGCTGTCACCCACCGATTTCCGCCCAGGTGCACGCGATTCAATCCATGATGCCGCATGAAAAACTGGCTTACTAATGAAGTTGGCCTCCCATGACCTCTCTCCGTCCCTGGTAGTTGGGACATCGCACCCGGATCCCGTCAGGTACCTCGGCAGCCAGAGTTCGGGTCGGCCGGGAAATACCATGAATGAATGCTTCCAGAAATAATACAAATACAAACCGTTTATGGAAGCTCCGTGCTTAGCGAAGCAGGCAGAAAGCGCTTGTCTATATAGTCTTTGCGTAGGATGTGTCTGTCTGTCTGTTTGTCCCGTTTTGTGTTGTGTCGTGCCCAGGCCCAACAGCCTGGGCACGAACGAATGGTGAAATTTGGCGTAAAAAATTGGCGAAAAAATATCTTCCACAGGTAGCTCAACAACAGCTGCGGTCTGGGGTTCGGGCGTGGACGTGCTATGACCGAATGGCCGTTTTCCTGGTTTTCCACGCCCACTGGTTTTCCACGAGCGGCCTGAAAATGTGGCCCTTGATAATACCGATGAGAAGTCGTTCGAAACCGTGCCCACATTTCGGTAACTAGGTGTTGTAGCGACAAAGACGGCACATCTCGACGGGCAATCGTGTCGCATCACGGGTGCCATTGCACGTGCCAAGTGTCACTGACCCAGAAGAAGTTAGGATGGATTTTTTTCCGTTTTTCACATTTTGTGCCACAACTCGGCAGCCAGAGCGAGTGGAGGCCAATACGAACAAACATGCGTTTGCGCCACGCACGACTGCGCCAGCTATCGTCGGGCAAGCCGGGCTGGTCGGTATTTCGGAAACGGTGCCGAATACGACACGCCGTCGAAACAATAGCCAGGGCCATGAAGCTCTGTACACCACCCCGATTCAACATCAACTTTACCTGACGGGTTAGAAGCACACACTTTCAGGTCGCATTTATGTCCCCGGTCGTTAGCACAGTCGCCGCCTGCAAGTACCGTAAGTAAAACTACCAACCGTACATAAGCTGCATGTTGCCGGCGATCGGTAGTAGTTACTCATCTTTAGTTCATTCATTCCTTGTGGCGAAAAAAGTGGGACAAAGAAACCGTCGAATGCGTTGTTTGAATCCCTCGCCCTAGGAAGTGTTTAATGAAGCCGAACGTATTGAGCGAATCATGACTTGGGAGGGCTGCAGTGAAAGGACTCGGGAAACGCAGCTGTTGTAAGGCAAGGCCGCTGCTACGGCAAAACCGCACGCTCACTGGCTTTGCACGTTGTGTCTTGAAGTTACCGCAGTGTGGCAATACAGGAACACCGCAGCTGCAATGGTACGTGACAGCGGCAAAACTAAAAACTGTCATTTTCTGTGGCAGAAAGGAGTGTTTCCTTGAAGCTTTTGTGACGCATAACAGAAGTGTGGCCGCTTTGGCATTTGGATAGCAGAAAGCTGGTCAATCGCTGATTTTGTGTTGGAAAGCAGATTGTAGGCTAATTTCAGCAGAACGCCGCAAATGCTACATCCAGATCATTCGTTTTACTGCTGTAGCCTGCCATCAGCTTCGACCCATGACGGTATGGCACAAAATCGGCAAACGCAATAGGTTTACGATTGTTTCTTGAAGCAGATAAAACAGGACCATTCAAACATTCGTAAAAGCCGCCTCCCAGCGCGCACACGCGCATAAAGAGAGAAGGGGCCAGCGGTTACCGACTGATTTTTGCCAAGGTCGTAAGCGGTTCAACCCATGTTGCTGTACGAAACAAAGCTGGGTCACAGATATAGTCCGTTTCCCATGAGCCACATAGTCCTCGGCAGTCAGCACATCACACCCGATTGGCGTCAGGTATCCTGGTAGACACGGTTGCGATCGCCCAGTCGATCCTCGAACAATGTTGAATACATCAAGAAGTAGTGCCAACACCAATCGTCCATAGCACGCAGCGGATCTTTCGTGCATTTTCAGTCAGCTTCGTCACTTCACGAAGCAAGCCCTCGTTGTTTACCATTTCTAACATTAAGGGCCAAGTGACTAAGACTTCAAAAGAAATGGGATTTGGTGGTGGTGGTCCATCGATCCCTGCAGGCCCCTCAAACCATTGTTGAGCCAAGGAAGGTAAATCAAACCGCTTTTGGGAAAATCCAGGACATGTTCCTAACTCGAACAAACAGTGGGAAGTGGATGCGCGGGTTTTTCAAGCAAGTGCATCGCCCACATAAGCGGAACTCGCGCTGCTGAGAACACTCTGAGAGTTTCCACGAAAACATCCGTTTCTTTGCAAGAAAAAAACCTGCGCTTTCGAAACAACTTCGATTTTTGAAATCACAATCGTTATTAGCTACATTTCATATATTACATGGGTATGTGAAGAATACAGACTTATGTATGCATACAGGTGGTTACTCAATGTGTCAATGCTGCATAGTGATGCGGGTCAAAACACACAATGAACAGCACTAAACGGCACGGCATAAACTGCCGCTGAACAATAGAAGATATGCATAAAAGATTATGCCGTCAAACCCACAGCGGTCGGGAAGCATTCAGAACATATTATGGCACAACAGCCCTCGAGTCTTTAGACTAATGCAGTCTGCAAGTCTACAACACTATGCATCATACAGCCTGAATTACGCTTTGATTGCGTTTGGAATGTGCACGGCCGGCCAGCGCGGCGCTGTCTGCGCGAACCTGAGCCGGGAGCGGCGGCGGCCACAGCGACGCAGCGCCGGGCTCAGTCGCTCGCACCTGAGATCTGAGCGGCCGCGGCGGCTGCCGGGCGGCGGGCGGGCGGCGCCGGCCGCCGACAGCCGCATCGGGTGATGATGGGACGGAGTGGTCGGCGCACTGCGCGCCGCACGATGAGCGTCCGTCAGCACGAGCGCGACCGGCGCGCGACAGCACCTCGCAAGCGACGCTCGCGTGTGCTGCGTATCACTGGCGAAAGGGTACCGAAGCCTGGCACTCGGGCAGACGTCGGCGCGCGCGCGCGCGGCGAGTCCGGCGCCCGTGCCGGGCCGGCGGCAGCGGCGAGATCAGGCGTTCTGACCAGAGCGGCGCAGCAGCTCGGCCAGACGCGAGTTGTGCGGACCGGCGCGGTTGAGCAGCGTCAGGCTGGAGCCCAGGCAGAGTCGGGTGGGCGCCGCCGCGCCGCCCGGCAGCTGCAGGAAGACGGTGGTGACACCGGCCCGCGCCGTCGGCGCACGGCTCGACGGCCGCCGGCCGCACGGCCGTCTCTGGCCGGCGGCGGCGGCGCGTCAGCGTGGCCACCGCCGGCTCCTCGTCCTGCTGCAGCAGCAGCGCCACGCGCGCCACCGCCCGGCGCGCCATGCTGCGCATCTCCGCCTCCTGGCGGCGCACCGTGCGCCGCCGGCTCGAGAGCCGCCGCAGCCGCCAAAGCGACACGCACAGCGCCAGAAACAGGAAAAAACACGAGAAGAACACCGAGAAGAAGACGGCCATGTTCATCTTGGGCTGATCCTGGACGAAAGAACACGGTGCCCTGCGCGGGCCGGTCGCCCACGCTCAGCAGGGCCACGAAGAAGGTGGTGCTGCGCAGCTCGTACCGGTCCTGCGGCAGCTGCACGGTCAGCCGCCGGTGCAGGTTGCGCACTAGCAGCATGTGCTGCTGCCCCGGCAGCCGGATGTAGGTGTTGATGTCGGCGGCCGTGCGCGCCAGCAGCCGGTGTCGGGGTGCGCCGGTGGCGTTGTCGGCGCGGCGGCGGGGCCGGCCGCCGACTGGCGTCACGCCCTCGTAGCGCGGGTCGAACTCGACCCGGTGCCGGCCGCTGGAGCCGTTGACGTTTACGCGCAGCGCGTCTTCGTGCGCCGTCAGGTACACGTCCACGGCGCCCTCCACCACGTCCACCGACAGCCGGATGTCCACGTTCAGGTACTTGGGCCGGGCGGCGTAGAAGACGGTGCGGCCCTCGAGCAGTTCGCCGTAACGGCCGCAGAGATCTGCGACGGGTGGCGCAGCCGTGTCACACGCCACCAAAACGGGAAGTTGGGAGCCTAACTCACACAAATACAGGCTGATCAGCGCAGCCTCGACAGGCAGCAACCCTATTGTGAAAATAAAATGTGAAGGTCCCATCCAAAGCCGAAGCAGCCGAGCCCGACTAGGGGATGGTGGTTGTCATCAAAATACATGAAGCTGTCGCAAAAAATGCGTGGCGAGTTTTAAAAGCCCCCCAAAATTGAAAGACGTGACTCCGGCGCACGAGTGATGAGTGTACAGAGTTCTGGTGAGTGCCCCGCGCGCGCCGGTCGGTCCCAGCCCGAGTGGTGAGTGTACAACGCTCTGGCGAATGCCTCCCACGCCTGCCAGGTCCAGCCCGAGACGCCGCGGGGCGGCCGCTGCCCATCCTCGCACCTGGGTTGGCTGGGTCGAAGCAGTAGTCGAGGTCCACCTGCATCTGCCGGTAGCACTGGTGACCATCGGTCGGGCGGCCGCGGTAGTTGTCCCGACACTTGACGCACTGGATGACCGGGTGGGGGAGGGGGGTCAGCGGAGGCTGCGGCCGCGAGCTCGTCTGCCACGCTCGACTGCGGCCGCGAGCTCGTCTGCCGCGCTCGACTGCGGCCGCGAGCTCGTCTGCCGCGCTCGACTGCGGCCGCAAGCTCGTCTGCCGCGCTCGACTGCGGCTGCCAGCTCGTCTGCCGCGCTCGGCCGTCTGACGATCGCAGCGAGGCGAACAGGGCGGCCCGCGGCCGAGAGCGCTGCGGTCAGCACACACACCGACGGCCCGACCGCCGACTCAGCCAGACCGGGTCAGGCGCCAGCAGGGGAAGCCCCAAGCCACACGGTGTCTCTAGAAATCTCGGTCCCGGGCAGCAGCAGCGGCGGGTGGCGGGCGCAGATTCGACTATGCAGAACATATCCCTGTGCCCACGTAGCGACCGTTATGCGTGCGATTCAGGCCCTGCGTCGGCTGCGCCGCCGGTTTGCAGCCGCTGACAGCGGAGCGGGTCATCGGCACTGGGCGGCGGCCACACCTGCAGTTTCCAGCAGGGCTGGGCGCGCTTGCCGGCCTCCTGCCGGCAGCTGGCGTCCGACTCGGTGTTGTTGTGGCAGTCGCAGTTGTCGCCGTCCACCGGATCACACATGGTGCCGTGGCCGTGGCACCGGCACCTGCAGCGCCACCCATCAGTCCTCTGCCCCGCTCACCGCCAATCCGCCTCAGCCGTCCACACAGGACGATCGGGAGGCGTCATTCACCGCGACGGCATCTCTGCCCCGTTCGCTAGCACCCGTTAGTCTAAACACAAAAGGGCGCTTGTAACACATGTTTCTCGTCTCCCATCAAATGTGTCTTCATTGTCGCACGTCATTAAAGCATCGCCTCCGGTCGCTCCGCTACAGTGCGTGACACCTGCTTGAGCCGCTGATGCCCGCGCCCCCTCCCCCCGCCCCCAACCCCACGAGCGCCCTCTGGTCCGCGCCACTCACGGAACGCAGTGTTTGAGGGCGCTGGTGCTGCCACGGAAGAAGCCCGGCTGGCACAGTTCGCACATGCTGCCGTTGGTGTTGTGCTTGCAGTCGAGGCAGACGGCCTCGTGGCGCGCGCCCTCCGTCACCAGCGCCTTCAGGGAGCCGCGCGGCATCTGGCGCAGCTGCGGCAGCCGTCAGAGCGACCGTCATCCCGGCCGACCACCGTCAGCGCAGGGGCCATGTCGGCTTGGAGGGCAGAAAAACGCCAAGACTGAGGCACTGATCAGCTCCGACCTCAGTCCCCCGTCAGCTCTGGTCAGCTGGTCTGGGGCTGGATCCAACGTCAGCTTCGAAGACGGGTTCGAGGAAAATGCATGAGACAAATGCAATACACACAGGACAGTTGTATGGAGCTGACCAGTGGGAGTGTAAGGGGCCTGAGGTCATGTCTGAACCACAGGTTCGGTCCGACGGCCCACTACAGCCTAACCCGTACTGCACCCAGCTTCCGCATGCTATATTAATAATTCTTTATTTCGTGTAAACGAGTGGTGAAAAAACTAACCGGCACCACTAAATGCGACCGGGTTGTTTGGAGGCCAGTACACGTTCATGTACAAATGAGCGTTCTCTAAACACTCGCTCTTCACCTCCCGCCGTCAGGCGTTCGGCCAACGCCGTTGATCCCGACACGGAAGCTGGCGCCGTCTGCTGCCGTCTGCCTGAGCCTCCGAGGGACGCCGGCTCCATCTGCCCGACCCCCGGCCGACTCTGACGCGGCGCCGGTGTCGGTGTCGGCGGCGGACACCTCCCCTCTCCGCGCCGGTGTCGCGCGGCCGCGGGTCGGGCCGCCGGCCCCTGCTCACCTCGGTCATGTTGTAGCGGGCGGCCAGCTCGGCGGCGATGCACGTGTCCGAGTGGCCGTTGCAGTAGTCCAGGCATGACACGCACGGGCCCTTGCTCGGCTCGCCCACGAAGAACGGCTGACACTTCTCGCACTGGTCGCCCTGGAACACGCGCTGTTGGCAGCCACTGCGTCCAGCGACGGACGGGGGGGGGGGGGGGGGGGATGCGTCTGCGTTAACCACTGCGCGCCTGGAAAACCAGAGGTACAGGGTTTGGACTCCCCGCGGTGCCCGCCCTTCCTGCCAGGATGAGAGGCGGGTGACGCGATATAGCCTCAGCAGCTGGATGCTTCCTAAAGCCCTAATGCCACGACCGACGAACGAGACCCTTAGCACAGCCATGAACGGAACAGCGACGGACGTGGCGTGGGACGTGTATTGCGCGGTGGTCTACCGATGCTGCTGCTGTCTGCTGTACGCTTACGTCACAAGATGCCCTGCCGGCATCAATGGCATGAGTCTTTTCGAGCTATCTGGTAGTATTCTGATTTGTTACCCGAATGCTTAAAGTACACCCAGTTGAATCGTCCTTAAGCTGCCCGATCCCTTTTGTATATGCCCTGCACGCCAGCTGGGGCATATTTTCAATTGTGTTGCTAATTGGGAGGACATCGCATCAAGGAAAAGGTCACTGTTGAGCGTCACTCCAGGACATCTGTCGTTCTTGTTTACACATGCGCAAATAGTACAATTTTAGTACTCTCAGCACAATGAAATTGCCATCTAGTGAGTTCATAAAAAAGTATTGCAGCGAAAGCGTAAGGATCATCACACGCATCTGCATGGCCGGTTGAACCATAAAGTCCCAAGGTAGCGACCTTCAGCGTCAGCGATCTGACGAGGTATAAATTTTGTTTTAACCACAAGATCGACAATTCATTCGCCTACAGTAACATTAGGGTGGGGGTGGGGGCCAAAGTGACCCCCATTACTCTCCAGCTGAACTCCCTGAATTCATTAGGGCCAAAGTTGATGAAGAGTTTTGATGCATGACAAAACATGTACCTAAGTGCATGCTATATACATCTCAACAAACTTTCTCACGAATCATTCAAAATTTTCGGACAATGAAGCATTGATTTCGGCAGTCAAATCCACGTCAAATAAATCGTCCAAATATCGCAACATTCTGAATAGGTATGCTCAACTTCAGTGTGTGCTAGTCTTCGAACCCGATCGCTACCACACTCGCGTTGCGACGCAGCAGCGCACTGGCCGAGCACTCAGTGCGTTCCGTCGAGGCCGCCGCCCCCGCCCCCGTTACCATGGTGTTGTTGTGACACTGGAGGCAGACGTCGAGCTGGTCGTCGCCGGCGCAGTCCGAGTGGCCGTTGCACTGGCAGCGCCGGCTGCAGCTGGCGCCCACGTACGAGAAGTCACACCGGCACCGGTTCGGCTCCACGCACGTGCCCTGCTTGCAGCCCTGCTCGCACACCGGCCGGCACGTGTCCCTGGCGGGGGGGGGGGGGGGGGTCAGGCACACGAGGGCCGGCCACTGGGAACGGCGGTAGCGGGCAACGGCGGCTTATGCTATCCAACATGTCGGAGTACCGCTGTAAGATGCACCGCGTGTGTTGATTTCGCTGGAAAGTCGGCGACTATCAGTAAATCCATCACTAAATCATATCAGGATCAATAATTCACGCGTGACTATCTGTTGTCACGCCGCCGTAAACAGTTATAAAAAGGTGCGGGAGACGCTGGGAAACGCGACAACAGAGCTGCATGCACCGATAAAAATGAGTGGGTAAATGTGAGGAGACAGAATGCGAGCTGTGGTTGTAGTATGAGTAGGACCAACTATGAAAGTGCCAACCAAAAATGATGAGAAAAGGAAAGACGTAAAATGAAAAAAGAGAAGGTGCAAATATCCGGCTCGAAACAGCAATGCTGATGGATAATCTACTGGCAACAGTGACCGAATTTCATGACCATTGTATAGAACGCGACTACAGCGGTTGCTTCTTCGGCTTTCCATTCAAGTGGGCACATGTCAATGCATCAAATGATGTTGAGAATTACACGTTGATCAGGTCCCATCGTGGCTTTGCCGATTTCGTAGCCGAACCAATTGTCAGCACATTTTTTCTCCAATGACAGTAATTCAGGTTTTATAATCCTCCAACAATTATGCAACCACAACCACACTCACAGGAATAGCATCGAGTGCAACGGCAAGTCAGAGGGATGCCGGCCACAGAGCAATGCAGACACCTCACGCGCGAGACGGAACCCTGCCGACCACGTTAGCCAGCCGGTACCCTTACTAAGTCGTCAGCCACCCGGACCCGCCAGCCAGCCGGTACCCACCTGGGCCCCGTCAGCCAGTCGATACCCACCCGGGACCCGTCAGCCAGCCGGTACCCTCCCGGCCCCGCCAGCCAGCCGGTACCCTCCCAGACCCGTCAGCCAACCGGTACCCACCTGGGCCCCGTCAGCCAGCAGGTACCCACCTGGGCCCCGCCAGACAACCGGTACCCTCCCAGACCCGTCAGCCAGCCGGTACCCTCCCAGACCCGTCAGCCAGCCGGTACCCTCCCGGACCCGCCAGCCAGCCGGTACCCACCTGGGCCCCGCCAGCTAGCCGATACCCTCCCGGCCCCGTCAGCCAGCCGGTACTCTCCCGGCCCCGCCAGCCAGCCGGTACCCACCCGCTGAGCACGTAGCCGCTGCTGCACTGGCAGGTGAAGCCGACCGGCTGGTCGACGCAGACCTCCGAGTCCGGGTGGCACGTGTGGTGGCCGTTGGCGCACTCGTTCTCGGCCGGGCAGGCCGTGTAGTTCCACGAGACGACCGGCTGAGCCGGCACGACCGTGTAGTTGAGCACGTAGCAGGAGTCGCGCGGCTGCTCCAGGCCGCCGTCGCGGCAGAGGCCGGCGCCGCCCAGCGGCGTCGCCAGGTTACACCAGCTGCCCGGGAAGGCACAGGTCACACTGAGGCAGCTGGGCTCAGGTCAAAACGGGGGTGGGGACGGGCCGAGGTCAGGCTACACCAGCTGCCCGGGAAGGCACGCGTCACACTGAGGCGGCTGGGGCTCAGGCCAAAACAGGGGTACGGGCGGGCCGAGGTCAGGTTACACCAGCTGCCCGGGAAGGCACGCGTCACACTGAGGCGGCTGGGCTCAGGTCAAAACAGGGGTGGGGGGGGGGGGGCGAGGTCAGGCCGCACCAGGTGGGGCATTTGGGCTACACCAGCTGAGGCTAATGGGCCAGTTCACACCGACAGGGGGTGGAGGAATGTGTCACAATACACCGCAAATGATATGCGTGTTTGCAAAACTTGAAAATGACTTGCATTACATCGTTCTAGGAAATCGCAAATTTGAGACAACTAAAGCAGATTCACGCCCCCGCCGAAAAAAAATTCCCGAGGATTTGCCATGAAAATTTTTCGTTCTTGCTCACTACAACGCTACAAACACTCTGCCTTGGGTACGTCATCTACTGTTCAAGCTTATAGATCATGGCGACATAACGTGCAGTTCCTTCTTGAGCTGAGATAAGATAACACTGAACATGCACACTTTTGTACAATGATCCATTGCATACCCTAGACGCCAGTCAATAGATGTCCGACCTGTTAGCGATGTTGTCCAAATTTCGACATGGTGCGCTTAGATTAAACGGTAGAACCAGTGCACTGCGGTAAAAAACCCAACATGTGGCCAAATCCATCATTCAAACTATGTTCAGTGTTCAGTGTGGGGATCACGTCAGCACCAGTGGCGACGCCGGGCAGCGCTCGTTCTGGCTGCGGCCGTGAGCAGAGCTGGTCCTGGCTACGGCCGTGGGCAGAGCTGGTCCTGGCTACGGCCCTGGGCAGGGCTGGTCCTGAATCCCAGGCTCGCATCTGGCCGGCCGGCGGCGTGGCACCAGCCGAGCGCTGAGCACGTACCCGCACTCGGGCCGCTGCAGGCAGGACTGGCAGGTGGCGTGCTGATCGCAGCTGAGCGGACACTGCGCCGCGCTCGTCACCAGCGAGCCGCACACGCCCGCCAGACACATCAGCGGCTGGTAGCCCGGCCACAGACACTGCAACACGACACGGCCGGTACACTTCCGTCATCCACACCCATCAGCGGCTGGTAGCCCGGCCGCAGACACTGCAGCACGCCACGGCCGGTACACTCCCATCATCAGACACATCAGCGGCTGGTAGCCCGGCCACAGACACTGCAACTCGGCACGGCCGGTAAACTCCCGTCATCAGACACATCAGCGGCTGGTAGCCCGGCCACAGACACTGCAACTCGGCACGGCCGGTAAACTCCCGTCATCAGACACATCAGCGGCTGGTATAGCCCAGCCACAGACACTGCAAACACCGCCACGGCCGGTACGAACCCGTCATCAGACACATCAGCGGTTGGTAGCCCGGCCACAGACACTGCAACACGCCACGGCCGGTACGAACCCGTCATCAGACACATCAGCGGCTGGTAGCCCGGCCACAGACACTGCAACACGGCACGGCCGGTACGAACCCGTCATCAGACACATCAGCGGCTGGTAGCCCGGCCCCAGACACTGCAACACGGCACGGCCGGTGCGAACCCGTCATCAGACACATCAGCGGCTGGTAGCCCGGCCACAGACACTGCAACACGACACGGCCGGTACACTCCTGTCATCAGACACATCAGCGGCTGGTAGCCCGGCCCCAGACACTGCAACACGACACGGCCGGTACACTCCCGCCATCAGACACATCAGCGGCTGGTCGGCCGGCCAGACACTGCAACACGACACGGCCGGTACACTCCCGCCATCAGACACATCAGCGGCTGATACCGCGGCCACAGACACTGCAACACGACACGGCCGGTAAACTCCCGTCACCAGACACATCAGCGGCTGGTACCCCGGTCACAGACACTGCAACACGACACGGCCGGTACACTCCTGCCATCAGACACATCAGCGGCTGGTCGGCCGGCCACACACACACTGCAACTCGGCACGGCCGGAACACTCCCGTCATCAGACACATCAGCGGCGCATGAATCACTCATCATTGTACGAATGCCCCGCGGGCGGTGGGGCTGATCGAGGCACCGCTTGCGGCTGTGAGCCAGTGTCTTACGGCAATGGGACTGCAACCGCGCCGGATCCATTTGTTTCTCACGACAGGAATGTTCCTGGCTGAACGGACGCAGCCCGTTTCGTACTGATCTCTAAATTTGGCGACCCAGCCTCACAGTTCGAACACAAGCCTACATCACGACGCACTGTACTCTAAGATTATGTATGTAAGGCGCTGTCATAAGGTGTAACGCCGTGCCCTCGCGCGATATACGTGCCACTGCCTGAGCCAGCCTCCAACTGCGCACGTGTAGTCTCGCTTCGACCCAGAGTATTTTTCCCACCGCGCAGCCTCCGCACACAGAACCGCCCGTCAACGTCTTCTGGCGCTTTCACTACGTGGAGCGTGTTCCAGACTAACATCAGTCATATGTAAGGTAAGCTTGTCACCCTTATCATGCACTTCATCTACATAATATGCATTAGTTTCGAGCCTAACATTTCCATTTTAAAATAAGCAGCCGACTATCCTGCGTGACGACCATCTCTCGTGCGCCGCGTTGCCTCTCGCTTGTCATAAGATAGATAGATAGAGCCTACTTTGTCGATTGTTTCTAGCAAAACTGAGCTGAATCCGGACCGGCGCGGCAGTCGCGGCGCGGTGTCCATCTCACCTGTCCCAGCTGCTGGCTCCACCAGCAGTTGCCGTCCAGACAGGTGCGGCAGTCATGGCGCAGCGCGCACGGCACGCCGCAGTTGCGCCGCACGCCCATGACCTCGGGCGCGGAGAGGGCGCTGACACAGCGGCCGTCCGTCGGCCGCCACCACGACGGAAAATCTGCCCCGCCAGACAGCCACCGTCAGTCACCGCCAGACACCGACCGTCGGTCACCGCCAGACAGCGACCGCCAGGCGCCGCCAGACACCGAACGTCAGTTACCGCCAGACACCGACCACAAGTCACCGCCAGACAGAGACCGTCAGTCACCGCCGGACAGCGGTCGTCAGTCACCGCCGGACAGCGACCGTCAGTCACCGCCGGACAGCGGTAGTCAGTCACCGCCGCTCGTCACAAACAGCTTGTTACCGCTGCCAGGTGAGGGCGCGTCGGGAACGGTGCAGAGAGAGCAGCGCGGGGCTGGAGGCGGCGGCGAGTGCCGCCTCCGAGGCGCCCGACATGGCACAGCGTCGTCACGTAACGGTCTCATAGACCGGCAGACTCAGAGGCTTCCGGGAGCGGGGTGGAGGCCAGCGTCTTCGCAGTGTCATTGAAGGACCAGCGGCGCCCAGACCCGGCCATGCAGCGCATCACTCTGCAGGGCATCAGGTCCGCGCTCGCCTGCCTGAGGCACGGCAGTAAGCGCAGACACGTGTACCATCACTGCGGCCAGCTCGTCCCTGAGCTGCACGGGACTCGTGCCACAGTCGGCAGACAGCTGCAGACCCCCCCCCCCCCCCGCAGCAGAAACACAGCGCATGCTAGTGTCCTGATTGTCCCGGACCCTTTCACTCTCAATGCACGGTGAGGCCTTAAATGCTTAGTGGGACTCTGCTGAATTATATGGCAGGGAACTACGGATGCCATACTTGTTGCAAACTGGCTTGATGCCATGCAATTCGATACGACAGCGTACTCACTGTAGACGACCGGCCGGGCGTCCCAGAGGCAGCCCTTCAGGTTCTCGCAGGTCAGACAGTCGGCCGCCTCGCAGACACGCTCCGGACAGACGGCGGCCGTGCGCGGCGGGAAGGAGAGCGCGGCCAGCGGCGCCGAGACGGCCGGTAGCCGGCGGCCGTCCACCGGCGAGCAGACGCCGCCGTCCGGCCCCGCCGGCTCCCAGGTGCACGGCTGGAGGCGCAACGTAGTAGTCAGCGCAAGCGCGTCACATGCAGGGCCACGATGACCAGCAACGGCGGAGTTGGAGGCATGGTGGAGAGTGAGGGCACAACGGACAGCGGCTCCGCGTTGAACAGACCTGTCCACAGCTCGCTGTATCCTGTAACCGATATGTAACCCTTAATGGGACTCTGGTCTTGACGAAATTGCACTTCTTGCACCCACGGTTTATCTCCCCAAAGCGGCACGAAAACAACATGGTTTTGGTCGCCAAAAACCCTGTAGACATTGCTGCCAAGGCGTAAAAAGTCACATGACATGCTGTGGACCAAACGAACCCTTTGCCCTTGGTCTACGCAGACGATCATCAGCCACCACAGCCAGCGCACTGAGCCCGCTCACGGCGCCACCCCGGCATCCCGGAGTAGAGCCGTCCAGGACATCTCGGCATCCCAGCGCTCGGCGCGGCGGGCACGCCCTACTGCCGCAGCGCCTTATGAACGCAGCGTACTGGAGCAGCATCCCACAAGCAAAGCGCGCGCGCTGCCCGGCAGGTTGCCACACGTGAGCAGTGCCCAGCCCACTGCCGCCGCCACCGGCGCACCGTCGGCGCTCACCCCTCTCAGGGACGCTGCGGTACTCACGTGCACGCCCTGGTAGTGGGGCCACTCGGCCAGACACGCGTCGCAGCTGGTGTACTCGGAACAGTTGCGCGACTCCACCACGGAGGCGTTGCAGCGGCCGCGGTGGCGCGACGAGAACTCCACCGTGCCCACCTGGTTCTCGCAGCTGCAACAGCGCCACCGGCCCGCCGCGGTCAGCGGACGGCCGGACCCCGCCGGCGCGCGCGTTACAACGCCCACTTAACGGCACGCCGGGCGACGGCTGCAGGCCTTGGTGCAGCCACTCAACATCCAGACATGGTATCGGTGTTCGTCTCGTCAAATACATGTATCTGTAGCGCATGCGTCCTAGCGCGGACCAATGGTCAGGATCGGCGACACCAATACCATCACCGCAGTGCCTGTCCCCCAGCCCCGACTGGAGGAGCCGAGGTGTAGTCCTGCCTGCGCGCGTGATGCCAAGGAGCCAACCCCTAACGCCTCCGCCGCCGGCTGGGTCGCCACACCGCGCCGTCACACGCGTACCCACGAGGCCGGCAGCGCCCCGCTCAGACGGACACGCCGGGTGGGACCCTCGAAGCACGGAGCCTGGTCAGCCCGGGCGGGGGAGCCGGTCTAGTCTGGGTCGCCACAGCGCCGTCACACGCGTACCCACGAGGCCAGCAGCGCCCCGCTCAGACGGACACGCCGGGGGGGACCCTCGAAGCACGCAGCCTGGTCAGCCCCGTGGGGGGGGAGGTCTAGTCTGGGTCGCCACACCGCGCCGTCACACGCGTGCCCACGAGGCCAGAAGCGCCCGCTCAGCGGACACGCCGGGCGTGACCCTCGAGGAACGCGGCCTCGTCAGCCCCGTGGCGGGGCAGCGGGAGGACAGGGGGGACAGGCGGGGAGGACAGCCTGCGCGGCACTACGTACACGGACGGCAGGTGCTTCTTGTTGGTGTAGCAGTAGGTGATGTTGGCGGCCGGGCCGGTCACCTGGCAGTAGCTGCAGCCGTACTGGCCCTTGCACTTGTTCTTGTGCAGGTTCAGCTTGCACAGGTCATCGGGAAGCTCTGCCGGACAGAGACCCCCGCTGAACAAGCGTCCAGTCAAGCTGGCAAATAAAGACCACCGGACGTCATCATCCAAGCCTAATCGCTCGCATGCGTCGCTGTAACTTAGCATATTATTTCATCATCATGCTTAATAATCAGCTTCGTCATAATTTTTAGGAGGACGCTACAAAATTCATTGGAGGGTAGAAAACCAGGCTTTCCCGAAACCGGCATTCTCGAAAATTATATTTTTGCTGGCCTCTAAAAGTATATAACACATGTTACGATTCATATAAGTATCGAAAGGGCATGCCAAATATAGAAGGGAGAGGGGGGTAGGGCCCCTCCAATCACATGCAAAAGTTCACCCATGCAGGATGGTGTCTTTGCTCAATGATCGGTTGAATCCACAACAGTCATCATTGCATGATAACATGAGGTGTACCACCGAACCCAAATCATAGCACAAATAAGACTACAGTCATGGGCCCTCCCCAGTAAAAAAGTCACTAGTGACGTCCCAGGCGTAGGCCCCCCAAGTGACGCTATGAAATAACGTTCGCACAAGCATGAAATACTACAATGAGGCCCAGTGATAAGAACCCAGCCCAGTACGGACTCTGACGTTTCAGCAATTCCCTGTCATGTGCCGCCCCCCCCCCCCCCCCCCGATATGTACCCCGTTGAAGTGTCTGAGTTTCAGCAAGCTATCGCCTGTATCCGGGCAGCCGGGCACGGTCCCCTCTCACCGATGCGCTGCAGACGCGCCTCCACGCGGCCCCGGTAGCCGCCGAACAGGTAGACTGCGCCGCGGAGCCGGGAGGCCGCCTGGCCAGCCACGCCGGCCGGCAGGCGACCGAACACGGCGTGGTCTGCAGAGGAGAGCGGTCACACGACACCGAACACGGTCACACGCGTCGCCGGCCGGCAGACAGCCACACATCAAGCCACAGGACACACACGCGTGCTCCAACTTAGTTCTGACAAGAGAACGATACAGGAAAAGCGTGGATAGCCTACGAAGCACATAGAAAGCCAGTGATTTTGCCTTCTTAATGACATATCAATATTCATGTCAACATTTAGCCGGTCTACTTGGCATGGCTGTTTAAGAAGACATGGAGGCCAAAAACGTCCGGGTTTTTCACATTCAGCTGAAGCGCCATCAAGCAGCTTGCGCCGGAGCCAGTGAGCGCACCTTTGTCGCTGATCCTCAGCCACATGTTGCAGGCGTACAGGTAAGCGAAGAGGTCGCCGTCCGAGCCGGCGCCGCCCATCACCAGCATGTAGTAGTCGGCCGTGACGGCCGTGTGGAAGAGACGGTGGCCCGGCTGTCGACGGCCGCGGCCACGGGTCAGCGTCACGTGCCACGGTCAGAGCGCCGGCCAGCGGCCAATGCCAAACTGGGGTCGGTGGCCGGCCGCGGCACTCACGCTCCACATCAGCCACCGGTCCAGTGTCTCTGTTAAATGGATAATTCTGAACTTGAAATGTCGCCATCTAGAGGCCTAGGTGAGTGACAATCTACCTTCGCTGAAGCACTGCACATTACAGATCACACGCATCGAGCCCAAGCCCAGCAGCCCGCCTCAAGCGGTGACCGGCGCTGACGGCGGCCTCTCACCATGTGCCGCTGCAGAGGGTTGAGACCGCGGTCGGCGGGCAGCACGCTCCAGAACCGCTGCTGGTAGCGGAAGCTGAAGAGAGCGGCGCTGGCCACGGCTGCCCCGCGCCGTGCCACCACGCCGCCGAATACGTACACCGTATCCGTGGGAGCGTGGTACGCCGCCGAGTGGCCGTAGATGCCTGCCGGAGGAGGCGGCGCGGTGGGACTGCTGGCCAGGGCGGCGGCAGGGGACTGCAGGCCGGGCGGTGGCAGGGGGCTGCTGGCCGGGCAGTGGCAGGGGCGCGGCAGGGGACTGCTGGCCGGACGGTGGCAGGAGGCGGCGGCAGGGGGACTGCTGGCCGGACGGCGGCAGGGGGCTGCTGGCCGGACGGCGGCAGGGGACTGCTGGCGGACGGCGGCAGGGGGACTGCTGGCCGGCAGTGGCAGGGGGCGGCGGCGGGGGACTGCTGGCCGGGCAGTGGCGGGGGGCGGCGGCGGTGGGACTGCTGGCCGGGCGGTGGCAGGGGAACTGCTGGCCGGGCGGCGGCAGGGGGACTGCTGACCGGGCAGCGGCGGTAAGGTGCAGTGAGACGCCGGTTCGGGTATACTCCGCACTGGGCGCCCCATGGCAGTGAGCGAACTCACCCTTGGTGCTAACGGGATGCAATCAAAATGCCCCAAGTCATCTCAAAGGGAGTCAATAAGTCATTGTGAGCTCAATTTTCCTTGATACTGTGCAACGAGAGTAAGCTAAACTATTGATATAAGCGCACGAAACTGTCCGGGTATGACAGTGTCAGCTGATCGAGCGATATGCGCAACGCCACGGCACCTTGTGGCACACTTGAAACCATTCGTTCAGCACCACCACAAACACACCACCGGCGAACAGCTGCTGCTGCAGCGTCTCGAGGTCGCCGCCATCCCCCGCACTGCAGGCGACAGCCCTGCTCGCGCACTCGTCCCACCCGGCGCCGGTGACAGCCGGGCGGCGCGGCCCGCTCCGTACCCATGGGTGCCGAGCCGGTGCAGTTGAGCCGCAGCCACGCCCCGCGCGTGACGTCATACTCCCAGACGTCGGCGAGCCAGTCGTGCTGCGGCGAGAAGCCGCCGAGCAGCAGCAGGCTCCGCAGCCCGTCCCGCTGCCGGTACGTCAGCGAGTGGCCGGCCAGCGGCGGCAGCACCGACGGCACCTGGCCGGCCGGCGCGGCGGGGCGTCAGAGGCGGCCGCCGGCGGGCAGGTGGCGACGTCACGCGGCCCACGCCGCCACGACGGGCGGCCGGTCACGCGTGCGCCGGGACAACGCGCTGCCTTTGTGGCGCCGCTCAGCGCCAAGTCAGGTGACTTAGCGATACGGATGACTTGTATCCACTAACCACGCGGTCAGGTATTTCCGGAGGCATGCACAACGCAGGGATGCAAGTGAAAGAGCGCTGTTTCGTAGATATCTCACCCCGGTCGACACACGAAGGCCGCGTTACGGACGTGTCATACTTGGTTCGTTGGGATATTTGCAGCTTTGGGATAAAAACGCTGAAGGCCCAAAATGCTTTTCGCATATGAGATATCATCAACAACTTGTTTGCACCACCCCGAATCACCAACCACCACCTCATCACCATTTCAGCATCAGTTTCGTTTCTGGTGAACGTAGGAGAACGTAAAAACATTTTTGTGCAGTCGCCATTCTGCCCCGATTTGCCAGCCGTTCACCCTATACGCAACGTCTGGCCATCAACCCAATGTGGGGACACTGCGGCGACCTCCTGGGCGCCTCGCACCGACCTTTACTTCGTTCCACATCTTGGTCTTGATGTGGAAGCGCCAGCAGTCGCGTAGGAACTCGTTGCCGTCGGTGCCGCCGTATATGTAGATCTCCCGCTGCGAGACGACATAGGCGGCGGCGTGGAAGAAGCGTCCGCGGGGCACGTACGGCCGGGACGGCTGGTACTGCACGGTCACCTGAGCCGGGCGGCGAGAGCGGAGCGTCACCGGTGCGGCCCGCCGCCGGACCGGCCGACCTTAATCACCACACACACACCACACACGTACACGCACACGCACACACACACCACACACGTACACGCACACGCACACGCACACCACACACACACACACGCACACACACACACACACACACACACATACACACACACACACACACACGTGTCGGCGTCTGTGACAGTCGCAATGGTCGCCACCGCAAAATGATAGCGATCAGAACCGTGACAAGCGGCCGCCATTGCAGCAGTGCCGTTAGTCATGATCGTGACTGTGAACGTGACCGTGGGTAACTACCACGGTAACTACCACTGTGACTACGACAGCGGGGCTGGGCGACTGTGGGAGCACGTGACTAACAGCACATGCGTAGGACGAGATACCTACCGACCGCTAACTGGCCGTGCGGTGACTGCCCGTCGCCCCGGACGCCGGGTCCGAGCGACAGCAGCAGGCTGCGACAGTAAGGCGGCTGCGACGCCGGGCTGAGCGATAGCAGATTGCGACCAGAAGGGCCGCCGGCGACGCCGGGCCGGGCGGACAGCAGCAGATTGCGACAGAAGGCCGCAGCGACGCCGGGCCGAGCTGACAGCAGCAGGCTGCTACAGAAGGCCGCGGCGACGCCGGGCCGAGCGACAGGCCGCAGGCTGCGACAGAGGCCGCGGCGACGCCCGGGCCGAGCGACAGCAGCAGGCTGCGACAGAAGGCCGCGGCGACGCCGGGCCGAGCGACAGGAGCAGGCTGCGACAGAAGGCCGCGGCGACGCCGGGCCGAGCGACAGCAGCAGGCTGCGACAGAAGGCCACGGCGACGGCAACCCACCTGCTGCCAGGTGTTGCCGCGCGTCTCGAACTCCTGGATGTCGTTGAGCGCGCCGCGGGAGAGCGAGTATCCGCCGAACAGCCAGAGCGAGCTGTAGTGGTCGGCCGTGAGAGTGTGGCCGAACCGCGGCAGCACTGAAACACGTGCCGGCACCTCCTCAACACCGGCGCGGAAGCGGCAGCGACACCCATACAACCCTTGCCGTCCCTCTCGCATGCCAGTGTCACGACAGGTGACAAGGGGGCAAGTCTCAACAGTCTCAGCAAGGGATGACATTTGGTGATGGGCTGTGACGTGCACATGATCATCATGGTGCGCTATGAAGGCTGGTTCCGGTTACTGTCCACTGGAGGTACGGTCACGCTCCAGCGACACAGGGTCTCACACTGCTGCTGGACTGGTTGACGAAGGAGCAGGAAAAGGGCGTCATACGATCCGAGCTCCATCTGGAACATGGAAGGGTTGGAGCAACTGGCAATGGAGTGGGCCGCTGGTACTTCCACAGAACCAAAATCAACAACTGAACTTTTATTGGTGTATATTAGTTACGAAAAATTGCTTTTTCAGCTGGGAATCTATCAGCAGATGAGATAAATATGGTGAATTATCACCTTACCTCGGCTGCAAATGACAGGCTGTCATGGTGTGGCAGGTAGATCGTATTGCTCATGTCCGTACTCGTCCAACGATCATCAACAATTGTTCATGCTTACTAATGACGAACAGTATCATCCATCTACCATATGACAAGAGAGTGCTATCCTTCAAAGCAGGAGTAATGATATCAAACGTCAGCATCAGGTGACTGGACAAAACAACGGAACGGTCAACAAAAAAAACAAAAAACAGTCCAACCGAAATAGTCGGAGAGGATAAAACTTGAATAGGAAGAGGTCAAAAGGGAAATATACGAGTAGCAAAAAAGTTGAAGAACAAAAAGAACAATCTGATAAAAGTCAACAGGGGCAGTCAAATCGGAAAAGTCAAAGGACAAAAAGCCGAGTGGGATAAGCGTCGGCTGGAAACGTCCCCGCCGCCGCCGGACGGGCCGCGCCTCACCTGTCTGCAGGTACTTGAGCGACTCTTCCACGTGGTTCTCGTTGAAGAGCTCGGTGTAGATCACGTGGCCGGGCAGCGCCGTGACGTTACAGTGCGGTCCCACGTAGCCTGGGTCGCAGACGACACGGCCGTACGGCTGGGGGCCAGGCACACAGTGGTGAGTGCCGCGTCCGCAGCGACGGCTCGAGCTCCCGTGCGACAGTGGTCTGCCCGTGTCCGCGCCATACGGCTCGTGATCAGGCACACAGTGTTGAGCGCCGTGTCCGCAGCGACGGCTCGAGCTCCCGTGCGACAGTGGTTTGCCCGGGTCCGCGCCATACGGCTCGTGATCAGGCGGCCGGTGGTGCTGTGACCTGCTGCACGAGATAATGAAATTGCGTATGCAAGTCTGTGCCACTCTTACTACAGGTGCCGTGTTAGGTGACCGTCAATGGTGGCCGTCAAGCTATTCTCCACTGGTGCATATGCAAAGTAAGAACGAAACGCCGACACGGGCCCCGCCACTGTGCTGTACACATTTGGGGCGAAATTGACGCCGGCGGGCGTGTCCGCCGTTCTCTGCCGCCGGTGGCGGCGTCGGCCGGCACCCGCCGGGCCGGGCGCCCGTCTCATCCGGCGGGGCTCACCATGTCGCAGCGGCCGTGCACGATCCGCTCCGGACAGGGGTGCGGCGCGCAGCCGGGGCCGGAGCGGCCGGCGCCGCAGACGCAGAGGCCGGCCACGCAGCGGCGTCCGCTCGGGCATCCGTCAGGACAGCGCAGCACACGGTAGCTGGCGTTGAAGCCCTCCGACGGCGAGTGCTGCTCGAAGTACACCGTCAGGAAGCCTGCCGACGGCGGCATCGGTCAGCACGGCTGCCGTCGCCGGCCAGCTACTATGAGCGGAGGCACTCAGTGGTTCACTCTTGCACAAGTCCACTCCGTAGCTTCGATGACGAAATCTAACGGACAAAGGAAAGCGCGTACCAGCCTGCCGGTCGCTGATCTCTACCAGGCATCCCAACATAAAAGCTCGTAATACATTTCGCCAGGCTGGCCTGCGCAACACAGACTCTCTGAGTTTTCCAGCCGGAAAACATCGCTGGACCGTGGCGCGTCGTAACAGGTTCCTCCTGGTCGTCAATCTGACTTCTCGTCACTAACCTTACGCTGAGCCTGACCTGGGACGCCACACTACCCTAAGCGCGCGCTGGCGCCGGCCGTCCGCCCGGGCCGGCTACCGACCTGAGGTGGCGCGCAGCACGGTGAGGCCGTCGCCGGGCGGCGCCGTGTCGTCGCACAGCACCGCCAGCGCGTGCTGCTGCCGGTCCCAGTGGGAGCTGGTCGACACGCTCTCCGGCAGGCCGTCGTACACGTACACGTGGCTCCGGTCGCACGGCACGTGTCGCAGCGGGCCCACGCGCAGCTCCAGCGTCTCGCGCAGACTGCAACGCACGCGCCCGGCCACGTGTCAGCGCGCTCAGACACGGGCACTCGGTCAGCGGCGGCCCACCACTCTCAGCGGGACACTGGACGGAGAGGGAGCGGGAGGGGCCCGCCCGAGCCGTCGACGGGCAGAGGCCAGGCGGCGGCCACCGGCTCACCCGCGGCCGGCCGCTCACCTGTCGTAGATGGGCGCGTGGTCGAGGCTGTCGAACACGGTGATGACCCAGAGGCAGTGGGTGTCGTGCGGCGGGCCGCGGCCGGCCGGCGGTCGGTGCCGCTGGCAGCCGATGTGGCCCTCGGTGGCGGCCAGCGCCACGCCGCGCGACTCGCAGCCCCGGTAGCACACGCCCGCGTCCCTGGCGGACGCACGGGCAATCATGGCTCCGCTGGCGGCCGCAGCTGGTTAGGGTGCTCACACGCCGCCCACTCGCTGCTGCATCGCGCAAAACGCCGGCGTGATTCACCCGGGGCGGCTGCCGCATCTCCAGACAGCTGTGTGCCACGCCCGTACATAGATACTACCGGGCCCGATTCGAACTTGAGGAAAGCGACCACTCCGCACTAATCAAGTTCGCCAGCCTACTCAAAACAAAGACGGTGACACGCTGGCGGCGAGACATTTCAGCTCTGCGCGAGCGCCATCTCGTCGGACCCTCTCCCTGCCGCGCTGCGGGTCTCGCCCGCGTTCCGGCGGTGCCGATACATACCGGGGGTCTCCGTAGTAGCCGGGCGCGCAGCGCTCGCAGCCGTCACCCTCCGTGTTGTCCTGGCAGAAGCAGCGGCCCGTGGCGACGTCGCAGACGTTGAGGCCGACATCACCGTGGCCGTTGCAGTGGCAGGGCTGACAGCCGGCCGACGAGGTGGCGTTGCCGAAGCTGCCCACGCTGGCGGAGGAGGCGGCGCCGGTCAGCGGCCTGAGCGACACCAGGGCGGCTCTACGGCGTTGGAGGGACGTCGAGAGACAGGTAGTCCCGTCACGGGACGCTGACGCAGGCTAACGGGCGCGGGATGCCGAGACAGATCAGCCAGTCCATGGGGAGGGGTTGTACCTGCAGAGCTGGCGGTGGGGCCCGGTGGTGCGGTGCTGGCACGGGGGGGGGGGGTGTTGTACCTGCAGAGCTGGCAGTAGGGTCCGGTGGTGCGGTGCTGGCACGGGGAGGGGTGTACCTGCAGCGCTAACGGTGGGGCCCGGTGGCGCGGCCGCTGGCACGGGGAGGGGTGTACCTGCAGAGCTGGCAGTGGGGTCCGGTGGTGCGGTGCTGGCACGGAAGGGTGTACCTACAGAGCTGACAGTGGGGTCCGGTGGTGCGGTGCTGGCACGGGGAGGGGTGTACCTGCAGAGCTGACAGTGGGGTCCGGTGGTGCGGTGCTGGCACGGGGAGGGGTGTACCTGCAGAGCTGGCAGTAGGGTCCGGTGGTGCGGTTGCTGGCACGGGGAGGGGTGTGTACCTGCAGAGCTGACAGTGGGGCCCGGTGGTGCGGTGCTGGCACGGGGAGGGGTGTACCTGCAGAGCTGACAGTGGGGCCCGGTGGTTGCGGTGCTGGCACGGGGAGGGGTGTACCTGCAGAGATGACAGTAGGGCCCGGTGGTGCGGTGCTGGCACGCGTCGCAGAGGCCCGGCCCGCCGGAGCAGGTGGAGTGGTTGTGACAGCCGCAGTCGACGCTGCAGTCGGCGCCGCTCCAGCCCAGGTCGCAGTTGCAGCGGTAGTGCGGCGGTCCCGAGCACCGGCCCGGCCGACAGTCCTCCACACACCTGGGACGTCACACACCAGCCGTCACACGGCGGCACACTCTGCACCGGCCCGGCCGACAGTCCTCCACACACCTGGGCCGTCACACACCAGCCGCCACGCGGCGCGCTCCGCACGGCCACCGGCCGGCTCAGACCACACCGCCGACGCCAGCTGGCTGACAATGGGCGCCCGCTCCGAGACTGGCACGGTACGAGACACGGGGCCGTGAACACATCCCCGCTCTGTGATTTCTGGGGGAAAACGCAAACGTGGCGAGACCGGCTGGGAATCTATTCGGCAAAAGCGTTCGGGGCTGTTTGCGCCAAGTAGGCAAGTAGCTAGCGTGTCCGTAATACCACGTCCAAGCGAGATCGACTGCGACACAGCAAATGCGCCAGGAGGTAAAACAGCAAACTTCGTTCAATGCTCAAAGGCCAAGTGATTAACCGACTCGTACACGATTCTGCATACTCGTCGGGTGTGGCCTAGCCACCACCTTTGCTGCCCGACCCCGACAACTTACGTCCTTTCACAGCTGTCGCGGCCGTCGCCGGTGAAGCCCACGTTGCAGGTGCAGTTGAAGGCGCCGTGCGTGTTGGCGCACGTGGCGTTCTCGTGGCAGTCGTGCGTGCCCAGCCGACACTCGTCCACGTCCGGACACTCGACGAACGCCCAGCTCGTCTGGTTGGCCGGGCACACCTGTCCATCGGCCGGCGCCGCCAGCGCACCCTCGCGGCACATGCCGCGCGTCGGCTCGCCGGCGTCGTAGCACCAGCCGCAGCCGAGCGCGCGCAGACAGGCGGCGCACGAACGGAAGGCACCACACGCCTGACACTGCATCTGACGGAGCGCCAGCTCCGGCAGGCCGGGCGCCGCCAGCTCGGCCGTGTCGCGCAGGTGGTCCCGGTCCACCCACTGGCGGCACTGCGAGAACTGGAACCGGGACGTGTACGTGGAGAGCAGGAAGCACTCCTGGAACAGGCGGACGGACGGCGGGCGGGTCAGTCGACTGGAGGCCAGGCGGGATCAGAGTGACCCGGCGGCTGCTGCGCCGACGCACAGATTATACCGGGCCATGCGCGCGACAGAATAACTTCGCGTGATCTTTGTAGTGAAATTTAATGGAGTCAAAGAAGAGCAATGCGCTCGATTTCTCCAGAAGCGGGTTTGAATTCGTAGCTACGTTATCTGGTGTCGAATTCTCCAACCAACCCAACTATTGGCTGACGTGCACGCATCACAGATGCTGTCGTTCAAATCACACTGAAACCAAAGGCATCATGAACAACACAAGCGTGTGACAGCAAGGGGAATATTATCACTGCTTTTTGCAGTCAACTTCCCCACATGCCACAGTGCAACAGCCCTAGATGGACGCCGTCGTCGCCCCGCACCTTACACTGACGCCACAATCCGCGGCCCTCACCCTGGTCTCGGTGCACCAGGAGCAGCTGCCGGGCGCGCTGATGCAGCTGACGCAGTCGCCGCGTCGGTCGCAGGGCAGCGGGCAGTCGGCAGGCCGCACCAACGCGCCCGTCGCGGCGCGTACGCACCGCGCCCCGTCCGGCAGCCACTGACAGCCGGCGGTCGTGCACGCGGCGCACGCCACGTGGTCGGCGCAGCGCGGGCAGAGCGGCGGCGCCAGCGTGAGCAGGCGCGCGCAGCGGGCGGTGCGGTCGCGTCGGCGCAGGCAGGCGCCACTGGCGCCGCACCAGCCGCACGCGGCGTCAGACAAACACGCCAGGCAGCTGGTGAGGCGCGCGCACGAACCGTTCGAGTACGGCTCGAGGAACTCAAACGTCAGCGACTCCTGAAGACAGGTGAGGGGTACGGCGTTAGCCGGGCCCAGCGCGGGAACGCTCTCACCAGCGCTCCACTTCCAAATAAACGGACAAAAACCCTTCCGTAGCAAATTTGCCAATTCCAGTGAATAATATCGAGAGCCCATACTACACCAATGTTCCAGCAGTGACTTTCGTGAGGACCTAGACTGCCAGCTACGGCTGACGGATGACGGACTGACTGGAACAGCCTGTCAGCCACAGACTGGCTTCGCAGTGATGTGACTCATCTGCTTCGACCGACTAACTGCTGTGAGGACTTGTCGTTCTCCCACACCAGCCGCGTAAGACCAGCTCTACAGGGACCCTCAGCGTCCCCGCATCCGTGCCAGCCCAGAGCGACTGACCAGTTTCTGTGAGGAGGCGCCGTTCCACTCCAGCCGGACGTCGGCGTGCGGCGGCGGCGCCGCCTGTCCGGCCGGCGGCAGCGTCACCGTCAGCTGAAGCAGGTACGCCGCCGACCGGTCGCCGCCGAACAGCGGCGACAGGTCACCGCGGAACGCCTCCACCGTCTGCAGCTTGGTCACCCGGTTCTGACTCACAGTCTCCTGCCGCCGTCGGTGCCACACGTCACATCCATGCTGGCGGCAATCTACGTTTTCACGTATGTGTTTCATCACGTATATGTTTTCACATATGTGTTTGGGGCAATCAAGCGCACCAGAGAACGTTATGTGAATGCATCAAGGTAACAGTTAAAACTATGGAAGTAAGAACCACGTGCAAAACATTCAAATGTCATAGCAAACACCGAGCATGCGAAAGAAAGTTCAGATTACGTCATGCAGCTGACATGTTTAGAGGAACAGATACCACGTGTTTTGCAAAGAAGCATAACCTACAAAATAGGTGTATTAAGGCACCTTTCCCGGAGCGTACTGCGCTTCCCAGAGCTGCACCGTGACCCGCTGGAGCGAGCGGTCGCCCGGCGCGCGGTCGCTCACCATGCGCTGCCAGCTACGGTCGGTGGAGACGAGCAGCTGCGAACTGGACCGGCTGCTGGTGGTGATGAAGAGGCGCAGGTACGGGTCCGTCTTGGGCCGGCTGCCCAGCGGGTGCACGTAGCCGCGGAGCCGCGCCGTCACCAGGCCGCGCTCCTGGCCGGCCGCCTCCGCCCACAGACGCAGCGTCGTCTTGGTCGAGTTGATGATGCTCACCTGGCGGCCACACCCTGTCAGCTCTGGACACGCCTGGTCTCTGCACGCGCCCCACCTGGCAGAGCTGCTACGTTGGTCACAGCTCTGTGTCAAGCAAAGTCAAGCTCATGCAAACGAGGACAGAAAAGGACTGCAGACCCAGCTGATGATGCTGATCTGGGGTTCAGGGGCATGGGGTACATGGTCTAGGGGAGGCATAATGGGATTAGGTGGGGAAAAAGGAGGGGAGATCGTGCTGGGCGGGGCAATACGTCATTTCAGGGAATGGATCAGAAAAAAGCAAAACGCTGACGCGAATACGACGCAAAAGGCTGTTTGAACAACGAATGTCAACTTTCGCACTTGAGTTAGACTGTAAATGAGATTGACATCAACGTCCAGTTGCAATAATACATCGTCTAGACCAAGCTAGCTAAGTTTCAGATGGAAGTGTTGGTTAAAAACGGTCAAGCACGGTAAAAAAGAAACGGTCAAATAGTAGTACGGTACGTAAGACATTTTCACCACCGGCGCACGTGTCGCACTACACCAGCGCAGCCGGCGCTTCGCCCGCTGCGTGGTCTCCGCGCCCAGCGTCGGCCCCCTCACCTCATCGGGCCACTCGAGGTCCGCCGGGTTGTGGTACTTGGTGAGCGTCAGGCCCGGCCGGAAGTCGCGCGTGCGGCACTCCTGCAGGCGCGTCACCTCGGTGCCGTTGGAGCCCCACCAGCCGCCCAGGCCGGAGGGGGTCTCCGAGCCGGCGCCGCACAGGCCCGGCACGCCTGCGACGGGCGGCCACGGGGTCAGCACGGCCGGCGTCACCGACGCGTCACGTACAGTGATGGCGTTAAGGCAGTCAGGGTCGGGCCTTGCTGCAGCAGCGGCTGTTGTAGCCGAACCTGTGTCAGGATACGCCGGGCATGGACAATGTAAGATGGCGCCCTGGAGATGAAACATTTTTACTGCTTACTTAGGAGCTTACTTTGCTGCTTACGCGGGTATTCACGGGCGCACAACAAGATACCGAAGGCGGTTAACGGCTCTCGACCACCACCAGCTGCCACACGGGTCCCAGCGGCGGCGCCTGGCGCAGCTCCGGCGTCCCCTCAGCGCGCGCGCCTCCCAGCTCACCGTCAGCGCGGTGGCAGGCGGCGCTCTGCACGCACCAGGCGCAGCCGGCGCCGTGCACGGCGCACGCCTGGCACTGGCGCAGCGCGGCGCACACGCCCGGGCACGGCGACGACTGCAGGTTGCTGGTGCAGATGCTGCCCTGGCCGCGGCCGTAGCAGCGGCCCTCCGGGCACCAGCCGCACACCGGGTTGGCCGTGCACGACGACTGGGTGTCGTGGCGGGCGCACATGACGTCGCGGTCGGCCGGCCGGCTGCTCGGCGCCACCATCGTGTCGGGCAGCGTGTAGGCCAGCAGGCGGCCCGACACGGCGCCGTGGTAGCCGCCGAACAGCAGCAGCGTGCTGCCGTCCCGCACCGCACCACTGGCGCCGAACAGACCGACGACAGCGGGTAGCTGGACCCTGCGGCGGACGGCGGCAGGGGGGGCGGCGGTGAGCGGGGGGCAACATCACTGGCCCCCAAAAGGCCGAATGGTAGCGGGTATCCGGACCCTGCCGGCGGACGGCGGCAGGGGGGGGGGGGGGGGCGGTGAGCGGGGGAGCGACACCACCGGCCCCAAACAGACCGAACGGCCAGCGGGTAGCTGGACCCTGTCGATGGACGGCGGCAGGGGGGGGGGGGGGGAGCGGTGAGCGGGGAGCGACACCACAGCCCCAAACAGGCCGAACGGCAGCGGGTAGCCGGACTCCGCCGATGGACGGCGGCGGGCGGCGGCGGTCAGCGGGAGCGACACCGCCGGCCCCAAACAGGCCGAACGGCAGCGGGTAACCGGACCCTGTCGGCGAACGGCGGCAGGAGGGAGGGGGGGGGGGGGGGGAGGAGGCGGCGGTGAGCGGGAAGCGACACCACCGGCCCCAAAACAGGTCGAACGGCAGCGGGTAGCTAGACCCGGTCGATGGACGGCGGCAGCGGGGCGGAGGTGAGCGGGGAGCGAAACCACCGGCCGAGCGAGGCAGCTTCACAGCTGCTCACGAGCGCAACACATAAGGGGTTCATGACTACTCTGCTGGCAGCTATCGAACTTCAATAAACCGGGAGACACTGGTTTAAACAGTGTTATCAAGCAGACGTTGCTGATAGTGTAAATGCCCGACGTTTCAAACTGTGATCATCGTCAGGAGTGGAGAGGGTTAAGCCAAAAGCTACCTTTAAAAAACAGTGCACGGGAATCCAGAAAATGACGTGCAGCCACTTTCACTAGAAAAATAGCTTGTGGTGTCTGCATTTCATAAGGGGCACGGTCAGTTCTTAAACACGTTCCTGTTAGTGGTGCAGACAGCTAATGTCTTTCAGGATTTGCGATGCGTTCCGCTGCCGAGGCTGTATGGCGGCGCCTGCCTCTCACCCCAGCAGAAAGGGCGGGCACCGCGGGGAACCGAACCCCGGACCCTCTGATACCCCAGACACACAGCTTAACCACTACACTACCGACATCCAGGTGCGAAAGACCTGCGATTAACAGGGTGAGGTGCTATTTAATAGCACGGTTTTGCTACTTACAATCAGATGTTATCTCCAGGACGCCGTGGTTTACCCACGCGTGACATCGCAGATTGTAGAAGAATATTTGATGGTCGTAGCATATGTTTTCTAGCTGGTGACGATGTGTATAACCACCAAACACCACCATGTAGTCACCTGAAATGGCATATAGTGAGTACTGTGTAAGCTCTCCAACTATGAACCAAAAATGGTAACTGATGCAGTATGCAAACAAGAGCAATATATGACGCTTACCATGCCACACAATCCGTTGTCACCGGTAGAAAAGTATCTAATCTGGATGTAAAAACGTTAATAACAATGTGCTTAGGTCATCCTGATAAACCGGACGATCAATCAGCCCCAAGCTGACAGCATTGACAAACCAAGGAGCACCAAGGCTTTTCATACCACATGCCAAGCATTTCAGCGCGTCAATCGCGCAGTTATTTGGAGAAATAACAGGGACGGCGCGCGGCAGCAGTGGGCTGTGACGTCAGGACCCCCACGGTGAGCCGAGGGCTCCGGGTCGGCACCAGGTCCGGTCAGACCTCGACGGCCCGCGCACATACCACTCACCGGCTATCGCGGCCACGTGGAAGGCGCGCTCGAGCGGCACGTGTGCGTCCAGCTGCTGGGCGCGCGGGTAGGCCAGCTCGGACCAGAACAGCTCGCGCAGGTGGAACAGGTACATCTTGTCCGAGAGCATGGGGAAGCGCACCACGTCCACGGCCAGGCCGCCGTACACCAGCAGCGAGTCCGCCTCCGCGTGGTACAGCGTGCTGTGCCCGACCAGCTGCAGGCTCGGCTGGCGGCCGCCACGCGGCGCCACCTGCGCCCAGCGCGCGCCCGCCGCGTCCACGCGCAGCCGCCAGAGGTCGCCGAGGATGGTGTCGCCGGCGCCGGCGCCGGCCAGCAGGTAGAGCGTGCCGTCCGGGCCGGGCGTCAGCGTGTGATGGAGGCGCGCCGCCGGCCGCGGCCGCGCCGCCAGTCGCCGCCACGCGCCCGACGTCACGTTATACGCCCAGAGATCGTCCAGGAGGCGGCGCCGCGCGCCCTGGCCGCCGTGCACCAGCATGAGGTCGGCGCCGAGCGGCGCAGCCGCGTGGCCGAACCGGCCCGCCGGCCAGCAGTCATCGGCCCGGGGAGGCGGCCCGCACGCCTCGTCCGCGGTCCGGCGCGTCCAGGCGCTCGTCGCCAGGTCGTACGCGGCCACATCGTCCAGCACGCGGTTCAGATCGTAACCGCCGAACACCACGTACCGGTCCAGCGCCGGGAAAAAGACGGCGGCGTGCCTGGCGCGACCGAGGTGCGGCGCGTCGTCCAGCACGTGCCAGCGGTTGCCGGCCTGGCCGGCGCCGAGGCCACAGTCGCGGCCCGAGAAGCCGGGCCGACAGCGGCAGCCGGCCGGGGGCGGCGGGCACTCGCCCTGGCCGGCGGCAGCGTGACAGCCGGCCGGGCAGCGCGGCCACTGGCAGTGCGCGCCGCGCCGATCCGGCGGGCAGCGGCAGCGGCCGGCCTCGCAGCGGCCCACCCCCGAACAGTCGGCCGGGCACGCCGTCACCGCGTAGTGCGCCCGGAACCCCTCCATCACGTAGTTGGTGTCGGAGAAGAACAGCACCGTCATCTGCGGCGGTGACGGCGGCGGTCAGCGGCGGTCGGGCGGCACAGAACCGGCAGGTCAGCGGCGCGGGGTTGGCGACCGCGGCAAGCACCCGGTGCCCCCGCCATCCAGACCACTTAGTCGGACATACGACTGGCAAGTGATCGCAGCGAAACAACAGCACTAATGAGGACCATACCGCAAAGCACGTCCAGCCATGTATAACAACAGCCTCTGACAACCCCCTACCTAATAACGACCACAAGCACGTTACCACCACTTCAACTCAGCACACCTCTGTAACGCTACTAACTTTTCCGGAGGAGGCGACCAGAGGTAGAGGGACGCTCTTGCCCTTGCCGCTGAAGCTGCCCAGCAGTGTGGTGTTGGGTGCGATGCCGTCATACACGAAAACCTGGTCGTACGAGCATTCTGTCTCCAACTCTTCGAATGTCAGCGTGACATAGCGGCCGAGGGTTTCGTTTGCTGAAAACAGGGACACCGCTATCGAACAGCAGTCGCCAGGTAACACATGACACCAAAAATAAGTCACTCTTGACTATCTAAGAACGCACCAGGAAACCAGAAGAGTGCAAATAGTGCGAAAGTGACTGTGACATTTGTTCCTGATGATCATGGTGATAATCGAACATAGTGACCACAAGCTGTCCCCGTTCGCGAATTCCGTTCACGATCTTCACGTCTCAGTCCGATTTTAGGCTAATCTTTCATGTGCCCCGCCCTCGCCTGCATGACAGACATCGAGCGAATCTAACGCCACAGCGCTCACGCGCGTCCACAGCTAACCCAGCGTTCATGGCCAGACAGTTGGTGGTGCTCACGGTGGATGATCCACTGGCAGTACGTGTCGTTGCGGTGCTGGCCGGGCCCGTCTGTGATGACGCCGCTGGCCGCCGTCAGCAGGTGGCGATCCCGGGTGCAGCCGCGGCCGCCCGACCAGCAGCAGCTAGCAGCTGCCGCCCACAGCAGGCCGGCCAGCAGCCGGCGGCGGCGCATCACGCGCGCGCCGCACGCCGCCCCGTCGGCGCGCGAGTCACGCTGGGCAGATGGGGGAGCGGTGAGGGCCTGCTCCCATCACCAGTGCTCCCAGTGGAGATACGCTGATGCTGATGTGAGCTTTGTGCCTGCTCTGGAGCTGACAGCACTGGAGGTCACCTGGAAACTAATTATATGGGACTCACTTGGACATTCTAAATTGTGTTGGTGTATTGGGAAGAGCTCTTCAAGCCCTTTGGTTCTCAAGGAGCTGCATTTACATGGAGATTGAATCCCTTATGTGATACAGTCATGCATCTATGAAGCCTTGTTCGGGAAATGTTTGCGTGGCTGCTGCAGCAATACTGTATCATGTAGCATTGCATGACAAAATTGTGCTTGGAACTGCTACTGCTCAACCAACATCTTAGGAACTCATGCCTCATAAGCACAGGCCACCTGCATAAGACCTGTCACTGGGGGGTTCTGGTAAACAGATATGGCTCTGAGAACATCTTCAATATGTGGATGTGAAGAATACAGCCCATCAGTTTGTGCCTCATCCACCCTACCTATGCAGTTACCTGTCTTGGCACTGAGCAGGACACATTTGAAAACCTGTGAGAAATCCAGCTGAGCAGGGAAAGGGAAAACTTATCAAACAGGCCTGCAGGGATGCCTCAGGCTCAGGCAGATCTCTGATCCCTGAAATTCATGACTTAATATTCAGATCAAATGCAACTAGATGGGGAGTGCACCCAGCTAGGAACTCAGATCTATGGAGTATATGTGATGGAATTGTTGGTGCTGAATGCTGCTTCTATGCAGTGATTCATTCACATAACATGCATTTTGTGCAGTCTTGCCATTGGAGCCCAGTGACATAACCATGATAGGGCACTGGGACCACAAACCAACCTTGAACCAAGATATATGCCTTAAACTCAAAATGTTACCAAGACAATTTGGTTGACAATAAAAGGAAAAGATACAGTAGTACATTATAAAAGATCGCTGCATGAAACTTTTGAAATTGGAAGCAAACAAGATTGCTTGAGAAAATTTATTTCCCTTTTCAATCAACTCTTGGAACAGCCTACCAGATGAAATACTTACAGTAACAGTCTATAACTACATAAAGTCTACAAACCACAACATATTCCTGTAAATTTGGTTGTGGCAAACCTCAATCCTTGCCTGAGCTTTCCTGAAATCCTTGTATGGCAATGCTCTACACAACTTCCTCGCCAAACTTTTCAGCTGTGGCTTGCCCCATCAATATGGGAAGCATGCCATGTTTTGTGTTATTTAAGCATGCCATTACATGGTCTAAATCCAAGAGAGAACAGAACTAGTGGGGACGGCACGTTAGGAGATTCTGAATGTGGGATCCGAAGTATCGTTGGGCTGTCCCCATCCAACTCTCCTTTAAAGAGTACATAACAGGACCCGAAGTATCGTTGGGCTGTCCCCATCCAACTCTCCTTTAAAGAGTACATAACAGGACCCGAAGTATCAACACTCATACTTACATGCTATAAAGGTGCAGGTACTTGATCCATTCGCCAGGCTACCATGAAAACCCTACGCATGCATCGCACATGTACCTAACCAGATGAACCCCACCTAAATGCTTCTGCTCATTCTTTGTTTACCCTTTAGGGATGTCTACTGGTTACAAATGCGGTGCGAAGTGCACACCAAACATGTGAGATTAGTCAAAAACCAGTCAGCAGGATTTCGAATATGATGTCATCAATATTCATTGACCTAAGAGTGTAAGTATACGACGGGAGTCATTTGACTTATAAGCACTGAAATATCTTGATATATTTTATTGGTCTCAAAACTCATATTATATCTTGGTTGCTTGCTCAATTTTACCATGGAGGTATTTTTACTTTTTTCCTGACGTCGTTTAGTAGCCTCAGCTGACTTCAAACGACAGCGACCTTCATAGATATGCCGCACCTGTACGCGCATTTGTACCAGTGTGAATGTTAGTCTAGGCGGTTAGTGGGGCCTTGGTAATAGGGCTGTGGGGTGTGAATTTGAGGTGAGAGGTTTGTGGTTTCGTGTACATGAATATGCCTATGTTTTTGAAGAATAGTCACGCTACGATTTAACCAAGAACGATTGGAAATCAATAGCAGGCTGGTCTCAGACCACGTCAAGTTTGCGCATAAGGTGTGTTGAGCTTATTATTGGATTGTAATTGGTACATCCGTGAATTTTAAGATGTCTTCAGCTTGGCATTGAACTTAACATCGCATGAAATCAGGCGAATTATAGAAAAAAACAAACATTGTAGCGTTTGGTTAGGCAGACACCAGCTGTGAAAATTATTGACAAATTTGTGTGTGGCCAAAGTCTACCAGCGGCCTCAGTGATTCGTTGCACCACTCACCATGTTAATCTCTTAGGAAAGTCTTCTGCCTGTCCTTCCACCACATGACTGTTTTTGGGTGCTGGGTTTATGTCCCAGAAACCAAGCTGAAGTGATCTGTGGTTAACATCCAACCATCAAGGATAGTCAGGGTGGTGTGGGGAGTGAGTCAGACATAGACATTCCCTGGTGATAATTTCAGAAGCTTAAATATACTGTTGCAATGCGGGTTCTGCTTCTTTGTATCAGAGGTATGGATTTCCTGAAAATTAGAGACCTTAAATGTTAAAGTGACCTTTTTAATGAAATGTGTGAAAGGGGCATCCCACATTTATATGTGGGTTTAAACAGAAATGGCAATCTTGATGATCATTTAATGCAGTTCACAGTTCTGCCCTCTTACAACCTAAACCTCTCTAGTTTATAAGCTACATGCCTGTGAAAATGTGCAGACAATTTCAAGGTCACCCAGGCAAAAATGGCATCATAATGACAGCATTTAAATTCTGCTACTCCATTTTTCATGCTGCATTAAGGCAAAAAATTGCTGGGTTTGAATAGTAAACATCTTGGAGCAAAATTTCCAGATATAACTGACATCAGTTTGCTCTCCATGTTTTGCAAGGTGTGGCAGTGTAATCAAATGCTGTCATCTGGAGCATATTTACTGAGCAGGAAATTGGGTTATGTAGAATGTTCCTTCCGACTTAAAAACAAAAAAGTTAGGAGTGAGGTTACTGCATTATATCTCATGCTTGCTTCAATATCTTCAAATGTGTAGCATTCCTTTGGATAAATAGATATGTTAGAATGGCCTATAGGATAAGTTTTAAAACAATTTGATCATTCTTAGCAGATAAGATGTCATATATCTATACATATGTGTGACATGTGTATATATATATATATATGTATATATATATGTATATAATACTATATAATTATATAATAGATCATTATATATATATATGTATATATATCTGTCATATGTCCTATGCTATATGTCATTTGCCTATGCAATGTCTGAATGGTCTTTAGTAATAGTTATAAAATAATTGTACTATCCCTAGCACATAATATGTCATAGGTCGCCTTGCAGGTTGTGCAGAACCAAATTGGAAAACCATAACATTTGTTAGTCTTAGCATCTTAAATGTCTTAAATGGCCAAAGCCATCATGCAGAAGAGGATGGAGAACAATGATTCTGGACAGCTCCTGCTCCTGGAAAGAACAGGCAGTCCAATGAACAATAGTTTGGAGCTACTCATGTTCTGTTGTGACATTCTCACTTCAGCCAAAAAAACAATGCTACTAGGGTATCACAGGAATAGTCATGAGATCACCTCTGTCATCTACAAGGAACATTTTAAAGACATTATGATAGGAAACCACCCCACTTAAACCATCAGTGTGACTGTGATAGGTCACTGACACCTTCATCCTCTTGACTACATCAGGAAGGTGTAACAAAGTTCCTTGAGGGGGGCCTGGAGCCATTTATCCAGCACACTGCAGAACCCGGAGGAAGATAACAGGCTACTCTTTCTTGATGTCAGAGTTGGGAGACAAAAACAGGTTTATAACACCAGTGTACTGGAAACCTACACTACCCAGTACCTGCCTGAACTTTCAGTCACACAACCCAGACACAGTCAAGAAAGGCATCTTAATATGTATTTGACAGATAGGTAAAGATAAATAAGAAAGCAGTAAGCCACACAATGGGAATGTTCTGTAGGAATGGGTGCCTGAAAGGCTTTTTGGATTAGAAACCCAAAGAGCATGCTTGACAAACAGGGCAGCTATTCAAGAAGTTGATGGCAATGATATCATTACTTTATAATGCATGCTTGTCAGAAAAGATGGTGGGAACAGTTGTGATGACCTAACTCCTGTTTGTATCTTAGTGATTCCAAGGAGAAAATTTGGGCCACACATGTGTGCATGCATCGCTGGAGCCAAATGCCATGCCATTGGTTAGGACCCAGGCAACAGCTGACAAATGGTGAAAAATTAACTGGCTGAAACATTGTATGCATTCTAATACAACAGATGAGAATGGTAGCCAAGGCAATTATAAATCTGAAGTCATGGGATGATTAATTTGTGACTTATTTGAAACAGTGCTTTTAGATCTGAGACATATGTGTAAATTCTGATTTCAGGTTGTCTTTAAAATGTCTGTGAGGTGTGGTGTGTTTTTCACAGATGGCTAGTATCAGTGAGATATGTGAGAGTACGCGGATGGCCCGTGAGATGGCTCTGTTGGGCAACTACGAGTCGGCCACTGTATACTACCAGGGAGTGGTGCAGCAGATCCACCGGCTGCTGCAGAGCATACAGGACCCATCCAGGAAGCTCAAGTGGCAGCAGGTTGCTACCTCATTTGTTATTTATATCTGGATTCTCTGCATGCCTGGCTTTCCAAGTATTTTGTGACATGTTGCATGTATATTTGGCAGTTGTCACAGTATATTTGAATTTGGGGCACATATGGAACCTGTCATTTTTTAAGTGAACTGTCGTCTCATCTCTCATCTCATCATCATCTCATCATCATGTCATGTCATCTTATGCCTGTACTGAACAATCACATATCTTGGTATGTTCTTTTACTCTCCAATTGTCTCACTGCTGTTGTGTATATTTCCCCAGCTGAGCCGTTGTCCCCACTGACGTGGCGTGCCCGGCCGCAGGTACAGCAGCACATTGCTCGCGAGTACGAGCAGGTGAACGGCATCACGCACACCCTGAGTCTGTTCCGCGCCGACAGCCACGACAGCAGGCCCATCGGTGAGCAGCGCTGGCCCGGCGCTCGTGTGGCCTCCAGGCGTCAACTGGCTTTGTTCGGGCATGGTTGTGGAAGCGCGAGTCTGTGATCAGCAGCGGGAGGGACTGGCATGATATTTGACAGGTCATCGTCCCCCCAACACACTCACCAGGATGTGGGAAATGCAGGACTCCGGGGTCGTGATGAAAAATTGAGGAGGAATGTCCAATGGGGACTATTCTCCTATTGCTCAGCATCCAGACTGGAAGTCAGTATAAGAAAATCCCATAACAGCAATGTATAAAGAGGGGCGCTGTGGTGGCTCGTGGATGCTGTTCTGCAGTGCCTTCGTTCTGAGGGCTCCCTCTGTTGTCCGGCGAATCTGGTCGGCTGATCACCGGGCCCCACGCATAAAATGAACCACGGCGTTTGGGTCGGCCTGCTTCACTGCCAACGTTGGAGTGTGGCCAAGGAGATCTGGCTTAGCTTCTTGATAGAGCTGGCGGTCACGTATAGGGTACTCAGTGTCTTCCAGCGCCCCATACCCTGGGCACAGGCCGTCGTTGCGAAGTCCGCTCCACCGGATCGGCGTAGCACGGGGCAGCGGGCGTTAGTTGGTGCGGACTTGAGGAGCACCGCGTGCTCATGAGTGAACCAGCCATTCTCATGCTCCAGACTTAAGCCCCGGTCGGTCTTCTGTGGACGTGCTCGGGCGACACGGTCGTGTGGCAGATGCCCCACCAGTTCTTCAGCCACGCGCTTTGGAGAGCTGAGATAGCTGCGGAAGCTATTGGAGGTCGATGCGTACATTGCTTTGGAGCTGGAGCCCCCCTCCCCCCCCCATTGCCTGCTTTCCCCGCTTTTTCATTGCCCTTGATTTTCGCGTGGCCCGGAACGCTGGCAACTTGGACGTTGTTTTCATGACGACTCAGGATGGCTAAGGATCGCCCTATCTTTGAGATGGTTCCTGAGCCATTGTTTCTCGGGCCTCTGCTGAGATGGGAGACGAGGGAGAGTGAGTTCGTGCAGAATCGGAAGCGCTTGATTGCCTTTTGGGAGTCAGCTGCGTCCTGAGCCGCCGCCGCTGGAGGCGCCACCTGCCCTGATCGGCATGGGCCTCCCCACCAGTCAGTGGGTACGCTCGGAGGACCCGGGTAAACTAGATGCTGCCGGCTGCGGCATGGCTGCGACTGCGCTTGCCACCACCGCTCTTCTGGTGTCCGGAGAGTCGATCCGCCTCGTGCTCCTGCCCCGATGTGTCGAACACGGCGGTGCCGGTCCTGGTACGCAGCCAAGGGGGCCGCTTGGGCAGTGAAGTCCCTTCGCGTGGGAGGCCTTCCAACCCGACGACCGCCGCTAGGGACAAATGGCACCTGTCAGGGTCTCCTGCTTCGGAAGGCGGCGTTTGGTCTGCCGTTTGATCGAGCGGTGGGATAGGGCCTCAAGTGTTACGCACGGAAGTCACCCTTGCAGAGTCGGCCCGCTGCTGGATCTGGTCTGGTGGTAACTTCGCCGCTTGAAACTTCACTTGTCCCGGGCTCCCAAGGCGTGTTGTGACGCAAACAATCCGCGTAGTAACACGCGCGTCGCCACTGAGGCTGACGCCAGCCGTGTGCCCCGCGCGCAGGCACCTCGCTGCGCGCCTCGTCGTTCGAGGAGCCCACGCGAGATCCGGACGTGTGGCCGCCGCCGCCGCCCCGCGACCCGGACGTCTGGCCGGCGCCCACCACCTCAGAGCACAAGTCAGTCTCCGCCGCGCCCGGCCGCCCGCCATGTCGACCACGTCACAGTGATGGAGGCCGCGGCCTTGCTGGCTCGCTCGCCCACTTACCTGTTTCCGACTGTTGATCGGCGGGCTGAGCCAGCTTAGCTTAGCTCAACGGATCATGAGCATCACCAGCTGTCCCTCTGTTGCTCGCTCTCGCCAGTCGGTCAGAGCCCAGTCGTGCTGGTGGTTTCTCGAGCACCACACGTGGCCACGCTGTGAGCTCGGGCTTCGCGTTTATCCCACGCTCGGGCGTGTTTCCCTTTGACGTCCGTGTCTACTCCCTAATACCTGTATCTCCTTGATGCCCGTGTCTGTCCTCTTATGCTTGTGTTCTCCCTCCTGCTTTCCGTGTTCTAGTCTCCCGTGACGTCCGTGTCTTTCCCTGACGCGCGTGTCCGCTCCGTAGCGCCCGTGTCTCCCCTTTACTCCCGTGTCTGCCTTGACATCCCTGGCTGCCCCTGACGTCTGTACAGGCAGCCGCCGCAGGTGCGACCCGTGCGTGGCCCGAAAAAGGCCGCCGACTCGAAGCCTCCATCGCGCAACTCGCGCAGCGGCGGTGGCGCCTCCAAGCGGACGGGTGGTGGAACCTCGAAGGCGCGCCGTGAGGACAGCAAGAGCAGCGACCGGCGCGCCAAGGGCGGCAAGGACGACAAGAAGACTGATGATAAGGTGGGGTTTGTTGTGGGCGTGTGCAGAGACATTGGAGGTCTCCCGAGTTGGTGGTCAATATCGATTGCTCGTTATTTATTTCCAGTCAACACCCATAGGCTAAATGTTAAATTATCAGACAGTTGTAGGGTCCCAGCCACTTCTGCCTCCCCCTAGCTCTCGCACCCCGCGGTGCGTGGATATCAGTTGGTAAAACGCGTGTGAGCTGAAGCTGATTTCCTTGTTATAATCCCGGGGCTGCCGACTTTTGAAGGAGTACGGGCCACTTTAAGTGCAAAACAGCGGTGGAAAAACCTCTTCCCAGTTTATGGTGTTGGGGTGGGTATTCCAGGATTTATATTTTGAGGTTATCGCGGCACGCGAAAATGGGCTGCATTATTGCGTCCCGACAGCATACAACTTACTCACCGATGGGTCTTTGGTGCTGGCAGTGCGGCTCCGTTGGTGACGTCACCCACCGGTCTCGGTGCCGGGCCGTCATCACTCCGCTGGCCGTGTCCCGCTGTCAGCCTCGGCCTCCAGTCGCGCGCTGGCGTCGTCACCCTGTGAGACGCCGCCTCAACGGGGGCCTGACGGCGGCCCGCGCCCCGCCGCCGCAGGGCTCGGAGAAGGGTGCCGACGGCAAGGAGGCGGGCGCCGAGGGCGGGGCCGAGGACGACGAGGAGAAGCGGTTCGACCCGTCCGGCTACGACCGCGACCTGGTCGAAATGCTGGAGCGCGACATCGTGCAGAAGAACCCGGACGTGCGCTGGGACGACATCGCCGACCTGCACGAGGCCAAGCGGCTGCTGGAGGAGGCCGTCGTGCTGCCCATGTGGATGCCGGACTTCTTCAAGGTAGGTGCGGCCACGTCTGCTCCCCTGGTGCTCGAGATGGTGCTCCCCTGGTGGCCGAGGTGGTGCTTCGCTGGTAGTCGAGGTGGTGCTCCCCTGGTGGTCGAGATGGTGCTCCCCTGGTGGTCGAGGTGGTGTTTCCCTGGTGGCCGAAGTGGTGCTTCCCTGGTGGTCGAGATGGTGTTCCCCTGGTGGCCGAGGTGGTGCTCCCCTGGTGGTCGAGATGGTGCTCCCCTGGTGGCCGAGGTGGTGCGCCCCTGGTGGTCGAGGTAGTGTTTCCCTGGTGGCCGAGATGGTGCTCCCCTGGTGGTAGAGGTGGTGTTCCCCTGGTGGCCGAGGTGGTGCTTCGCTGGTGGTCGACGTGGCGCTCCCGTGGTGGTACAGTGGCCCGTCTTAGTGAGCGCCACCACACTGCGAAGGTGGTTCGACGGCGATTTGTGGTTGCGGCAAGTAACCTTGATGGTTGTCTCGATTGTGTTTTCTTGTCACTGGAAAACCTTCGGAACAAAGGGAACTGCACGGTTGTCACATGCGGAGGTGTCCAATTTAGCGACTTGTTTTTGTCGGATCCCCGTCCATAAGTTCTTTAACCGCTTCCTCCGCCCAACTCCAACCCAACCAAACTTTTACTATCCATGACATGTGCGGTAGCGGCACCGCACTGTTGCCGTCTCTGCCCTGTTCCTGCCCCGGAATGTGCGCCCGATATGGCAGTGCTCTCCGACCGGCGCTGCCATGACCCCCCCCCCCTTTGTCACTTTCGGCAGGGTATCCGGCGTCCGTGGAAGGGTGTGTTGATGGTGGGCCCGCCCGGCACGGGCAAGACCATGCTGGCCAAGGCGGTGGCCACCGAGTGCGGCACCACCTTCTTCAACGTCTCCTCCTCCACGCTGACCTCCAAGTACCGCGGCGAGTCGGAGAAGCTGGTCCGCCTGCTGTTCGAGATGGTGTGTGGCGGGTGGGGCCGGTGACACTCGGCATGGGCGATGCGCCAAGGAGCAGCAAGGCCGTGTCGGACCGACTGGTGCCGGCTAACGGCGCTTCTGAGCTGATGGTAGCGTAGTGTCGCCTTTGCGTTAGGTGTGGCGCTTGTAGCGTGGGATCACGTGTCTAACGGGATTTTCTATTGCACCACGACTTTGAACTGATCGTGACTTCTGCGTGTCGAACTAGGTGGACGCGTGCCCCGTCCACACCGTCACCTGCGGCTGTCGTCCACAGGCACGGTTCTACGCCCCGTCCACCATCTTCGTGGACGAGATAGACTCGCTGTGCTCGCGGCGAGGCTCTGAGACGGAGCACGAGGCCTCGCGGCGGGTACGTGGCTGGGGCGATCGCGGCGCTTGGCGCCCCGTGGAGACGGGCCGCGGCGTGCCGCCACACGGCCCTGTGCTCACGGAACCGGGGGTGGGGCTCTGTCGGGCACTCAGTGATCAGTAAGCGAAGGCTATGCGTCCGGTCTTGACTGTCGACATCGGCGTTTTCATGCGTTGTGAGAATCGGAGGTCCGCGAAACAAAGGCGCTGAAAGACCTCAGATTCGGAGTGGCTGCACCGTGTCGGCTTCGTGTCGATGGTCCACGGCTGTCCCCAGCAATTTGACGCGTTGTGACGCCCGCCTGCCGCCGTCAGCCGGCCCGCCGAGCGGGGCGGGGTGGAGCGGACGGCAGCCGCGCTGTGACGCCCGCCTGCCGCCGTCCGCCGGCCCGCCGAGCGGGGCGGGGCGGGACGGAGCGGACGGCAGCCGCGTTGTGACGCCCGCCTGCCGCCGTCCGCAGGTGAAGTCTGAGCTGCTGATGCAGATGGACGGCATCAGCTCGTCGCAGGACGACCCGGGCAAGATCGTGATGGTGCTGGCCGCCACCAACTTCCCCTGGGACATCGACGAGGCGCTGCGTCGTCGCCTGGAGAAGCGCATCTACATCCCACTGCCCAACAGTGAGTGGGGCGGTCCGGCGCGGCTGGAGGTGGGCTGACGGGTGTCTGTGGTGTGTCGGTCGGTGCGTGCCCGCCGCCTCCTCCGAGGTGCAGGGCGATGGTGTAATTGCCATCTACACCGTGTTCACTGCAGGTCACACAACCACGCTGTACGGATTTGTGGATGGTTGTAAGAACAGGGCGGTGGTGGGAGCGGGAGGGGGGACTGTTGGTAAATTCACTGGCGGAAGGACATAGGCGAGACACAATAGTTAACTCGCTGCCCTTCGCTGAGTGTGTCCCTGTCCGGTGAGTGCGGGTATTATACACTAGTTTCAAGCATTGGTGGAACCTCGTGTCTCGGTGAGAGACCTAATGCCCCTTCCCTCGTACTATGCGCCACCCGAATGTCGTAGCGCACTAAGGGGGACCAGGAGAAACTGCCCCCCCCCCCCCCACATTAAAGACCGGTTTCTCTCCCCCACGGTACCATTTCATCAGTTCCACCCCGAGGTGCAGCACTGAGGTGGGCCAGGCGTCGCCGCTCAGGATGGGTCGCGGCGGCGCTTTGACGGAGCGTCCTCGTGCTGCTGTCCGCAGGTAACGGTCGGGAGGCGCTGCTGCGGATCAACCTGCGGGAGGTGGAGGCGGACCCGACGCTGGACTTGAAGGTCGTGGCCGATCAGCTGGACGGATACTCGGGGGCCGACATCACCAACGTCTGCAGGTGGGGGCAAGCATGCGCCGCGAGCGCGGGCGAGCATGCAGACGGGGTCGGTCTGTCGCCCTGACCTGCCATGTTTAGGGTTCGTGCGGCTCGACCTCAGCTGTGGGAGCTCATTCCAGCTCCCCGTGGCTGCCGTATTGTATCGCTGGTGGCCGCTGTCCACCCCCTCCCCTCCCCGCGACCGTGACTGTGGCCGTGACCGCCGCCTGGCGGCCCGCCCGGTCCGTATGTGACGCTGGCGGCTCATGCGGCAGGGACGCGTCCATGATGTCGATGCGCCGCAAGATCGCCGGCCTACGTCCGGAGGAGATCCGCGCCCTGCCCAAGGAGGAGCTTGAGCTGCCCGTCACCGACCACGACTTCAGCGAGGCCATCGCCCGATGCAACAAGTCCGTCTCGGCCGCCGACCTCGACAAGTACGAGAGCTGGATGCGCGAGTTCGGCTCCAGCTAGGAGGCGGGCGCACGCCGCCCTGGCGCTCCGCACACGTCGACGGGTGCGGGGTTGTGGAGCGGCCAACGACGTCTGGCTGACTGAGTCACTGCCCGTAGGCCAGCGGACAGAGAAGACTGACACACGTCTGGGACGTGAGCGGCGTCTGGCTGACTGGGTCGCTGCTCACAGGCCAGCGGGCGGAGAAGGCTGACGCACGTCTGGGACGTGAGCGGCGTCTGGCTGACTGGGTCGCTGCTCACAGGCCAGCGGGCGGAGAAGGCTGACGCACGTCTGGGACGTGAGGCGCCGGTAGAAGCGAGTTATGTTGTTTCCAAACCCTTTATACACTGGACGGCACTGTGATACTAACGAACTAGCACCATCTTTGCTCACTGACTTATTTAATAATTTAATATAGAGCTTTGTAGCATTCTGCCACGGGGTATAAGGGTGGTTGTGAATCTGTGAGTGTATTGTTGCTTAAAATTTTGAGGTGAGTTCGGCATGAGTGATGCATATTAAACTTAACTTACAGTTTGAAGTAAAGTAAAACATTGAGTATACATTCCTGCAACGGGACACAATTGTTGACAGCGTCATCACTCATTCACAGATAAACGCGCATTCTGGAAACGAAATGTAGGTTTTTGTCTTTTGTATGTTAGCACACATTTACGTCTAATAAAAACACTATAGCAAATGCTGGTTTTTTATGATGTACCATCGGCATGCATGGGGGTAACAAGCATGGCACAAACCACGTACCTTCCTTCAGTCTCGTCCCGAGCGCGATACCCCTGCCCCGGACTGCATCACACCCTCACCAAAAAAGTACAAAAATGAAAAACACTCCGCGCACTCTGACATATAGGACCAATGTGCTCTCCGTTGGAGGAGGACGGCACTATCCGGCAACGGTAACAACGGAAGAGATTCAATCGCTATCATATTACCAAAACGTCAGGAAGACAGTTAGAGTGAGGCTAACACGGCAGTACGTGAAGGGCGTCCCCGATCACTGGCGGCCGGGTGGCGCGTGCGGCGCGCGGCGCGTCCGGGCGTCCCAGGAGCGGCGCTCGCCGCACGTGCGCACCGCCTACTGGGCCTTGCCGGCGCCGCGCACCCGCCACGCGGCCAGCAGCCGGCTGGAGAAGAGCAGCGAGAAGGCGTGCACCTGCAGTGCCGCCAGCAGGAACGCCAGGTTGATCATGGAGTACGGGTACCCCTGCCGAGAGCACGGGCGTCAGAGACGACTGCGTACAGCACCGTTCCGGTCCGGCAGCAGCTACACTCGTACGACACGCCTCGCCAGCACGCTGCTGTCAGATGTTTATGTTGTACACTGTGCCACACAGCCGTAACGATATATGGTGAGGGGTTCAATCGACCAAGCGGTCAGGCAGAACGGGTGTGGCAGCGACAGCACCAACCTTCACTCGGGTAACTACAATATCAGCATTTCGTCGTAGTGCCGCCTAGTCCCAGTACCTTCGTTTTTTGGTAGCTTCAGTATGCCACGTTTTCCCAGTGCCATTCCACCCATGCATGGGATCCTAGAAAACTCTCCATTGTCTCGCGAGCACGGGTTTACCCGACGTCGCGCCGTTACCTGCCAGACCAGCTGGCCCTCCGCCGAGCCACTGGACGCGAACCGGTAGACGTCGGGCAGGTAGTAGCAGAGCGCAAACAGCGCAGGCGCCAGACCGAGGGCGACGATGCCACCTGCAGGCCATGCCAATCATAGCTCCAGGTGCTAGGGGAGTTCTATCAGGGTGTTTTGACCAGATGGCTGCCCAACACATCAACTTTCAGAACTCAACTTTGCTAGGACCAGGCAGAAACTGCTGTTAAAAAGCAGATTTGAATCCCATCAGAAGCAAAAAAGCAGACATTTTCCCAATGTTGCACCTTTTATCTGGTTGAAGATGTTGTAATTTGAAGGACTGACATGGTCACTGCTTAATACCACCACATCAAATGTGCCACTACCAAGGCCCATGTTAAGACTAGCATGTATGGAACTATCATATAGCATAATGAACAAATGAAGAGCAATGCCGCACAAGTAATACTGCACATGAAATACCATGACAACCAGCAGGTACCACAGCTTTCCACAGGCTCAACCCAAATTGAGTCAGCCTGATCTGTATCAGTGACTAGGATGTTTGAAGCATGTATCATGGAAAAATATGGATAAAATAGTGACTGGAATCAATGGCCTCATCCAGCACCCCTGTCATGTACTAAACCATTCCCTGACAACATTACAACTCACCAGCATAAACCTGAAGCAGAAGAGTGTTGTTCTTCTTGCAAGCAGACCAGGCAAAGAGAGAATATAACATGCAGAAGCTCCATACATATTCCCACTTCAAAGGCTGGAAATGCCACACATTGGACATGGTTAAATTTACCTCAGGTTGCATAACATTGTGTTGACTATTTTGCAAAAGATATACCAAATGCAAAAAGCATGTTTTGCCACAGAATACAAAAATTACAAATCCAACACACTTACAAAAATAAGCCAATGAAATTCTTAAGAACTTGCATGTCAACTGTTGTTTCACGAAGGTAACATGTTCAATGGGTGGTTTCTACATATGATACTAGCAGTCTTTCATACTGATGGTACAAACCTGGGGTATCTCAAGTTCCTCAATTTCCAGGATGAATATGTTCAACTTGTCCAGAATATCTGGTGACATTTTAATGAGCATAACAATGAAGAGAAGCAGATGAAGAAACAGGCAGAACTTCAGTCTTGTTTTTGCCTGAACACTGTAAAGAAAATAGAGGTTATTAATAATATGTCAGAAGTTCTTAATAAGATAAATAATAATATAATAGCTTCAAGTGTGGAAAACTTCCAGACATAAGATGACATGATATTGGGGCAGGATGGCTCAGATAATGAGAAGGCATTATATCAGCTAGGACCAGGTAAAGCTTGAACCCTCACTTACTTGCTGCATCTCAATAACCTTACATTTTATCCCTTATCCTCTCCTTGTCACCCCACTTTTGGTCCTCCTTGATCCTGCTGATGGTGACTCACACAGGAAAAGCCATATGTTGTGGTAGCATCAAGTGGTCAAATATCAATGCATCCGAAATTTGAGGGCTGAACCAGTCTTCAAGAAGTAGCAGTTCTTAGCCAGGTTGACTGGGGCAAGGTTAGGGCAAATAAAATATTCTGTGACAGGTTTGTTAAACTTTATGGCAGGATCCCTGCAATGAGAGGACATGCTATTCTTGGGCACCTCACACCACCTCAAAGCATAGTGGCTTAGTCAAAGCAACAAATTTTGTGATGTGATCAAGGCTGTTTTGAGGTTACCCATGATAGGAGAGGGTACCTCTAAAGGCTGTCCCAAATGTAGCTTGGAAACTCTCAGAGCTATTTGCAGGCCGTAGGATTAGCATGTGGGGGACAGATAAGTTCCCAACACTGCACCCAGCTTTCAGAAATGCTTGATGTTGGCTCAAGACTTGCTTTATTCCATTCTATGAACCATCATACTCCAATATCCAATTTGCCAATGAATGTTAAAAGGGTTAACCAAAATTTTCCTTGTTACCACACCCATGAACTTTAAATTCTTAGCTCCCTTTAAACCAATGCCCAATAACAGTGGGGAAAATTTGGTCACCTATCACACCAATGACCAATGACAGTGGGGTAAAATATGATTCTGTTGCACTAGCTGCAGCCAAATTCCAGCATTCTATGCATTTCACAAGCTTTTACCAACGCAGTACTGTAAACCGGAATGGGTATAGAAGGGCCTGGAAATTCATATGCTTGATTTTTTAACATTGTTGGAAGCTGTGCAGTTGTCTCCAAAATCGATAAACACGGAACGTAAGCCTTAATCACTCACCTAACTTGATACTGCGAAGCAACTTTCTGCCGGTGAAGAAAGTCCCGTCCGTCCGTTCCCATGACAGTAGGGCCATTTTTAGACGCCATGATCCTCTGCCTGTGAGGACAAAGTCAATATTTTGCTATTTTGGCCCAACTGTAGCAACACCTATCTGTCTCAAAGTACTGGGAGCAAATAAACAGCTGCTGCCGAATGCCGCGCGTTCGCCAGATTATGTCCGCCGCAGCTAACTAAAACACTGCTGATGATTGTGCATACAGAGTTTTTTCGTGTCAGGATATGAATCGGTGTAAAACCGCTATCACTAAATACCCTACGACATTCCTGCAATAACTGGGAAGAAAGCGTTTGTAGCTCAAGACTTTGTTCTGGGAAATTTGCCACGCCTCATAATCGCCACTCTGGGTTGCAACGAGAACGCCGTATGAGTCACACCAGCCACGGGCAGTGCAGCCACCGAAAGGCTGCCGCCGCACCGTACACCAGGAAAGCAGAACCAGTTCCCCACGTGACGAGGTGAGATTTGTTGGCTGCTGCACGTAAACGCACCGGTGTCTAGAACACCCACCGCCGCTCTTTGGCTCCTGTTGAACCGAGGTGCGGGAGCACCTGACTGCGGCGGAAAGGTCGGTAGATGGAGAGCGTGAAGTCGGCAATCATTTACAGGGACGAGAGGTGGAGGCTAATTGAACGCCGGAGGCGAGTTGAATACGCGACAGAGGGAATGAGAGGAATATGGAGAAGAAATTTGGAAGCTTAAGATACCATGATGCGGCGAATCGCCGCAGAAAGACAGGAGACGGCCTCAGCAGACGTGGGACAAACCGGCGGGACCATCATGCGTGGCAGGGGAATCGAAACACCTCAGGCAACGCTTCGCGTGCAATAGTTGCATAAAAGTGAACGTTTTGATCGTGCTAAGATAATACAAATGATGATTACAGAGCTTCTTTGACACTAAGATGATTTGTAAGTGGGGCACACAAACTGGCGAATCAGGTTCATCGTCCACAGCTGCACAAACCTCGGTGTCGCTACATCGCACCATTGGGAAGTTAATCTGGAGAAATGTTAAGGGAGCTGCGGTCTAATTGGCCTGTCATCCAAGCGCGTGATAATGGGATTGGATACATCAAAAATGTTTTGTGAATTAATGAGCCGTCCATTAATCACATTACGCGTTTTTTTGCCAATTTTCAGCCCCTTCCCGTAGCTCGCACCGGTTGCGCTTAGTATGCCCGCCTCGTTCACACAGGTTATATTATGTTGCGCGTAACGACCCACAAAGACGGCGTCCGTTTGTCTCCTTATTGAGTGAGAGGCGCGAAAAAACAGGCGTGCTGCTTGTCATGACAGGAAGCCAAGCGTATCCGGCTGTAAAGTTAAGTATGTTGTAAAAATTTGGGTATGGTTTGCAATCGCACCCAGGTGTAGGTACCATTACGTCGTCCAACCCCCCAATCTCTTTGTAAAACGTTAGTTACGCTTTCTCAAGAGTCACACTGTACCGTCCCTCACTGAGTGACGTGATTTACTGACGATCTCTAACTACATGCAACGTTACAGGTCAAACTCCTGTGACGCTTACGGATTCCTGTCGAGGGTGGCCTTCTATTTACATCGTAACGACTGCAAAGCTATGGGCTCAGCGTGGACCCTATGGCATGTGCACGATAATGGAATGCCCGAAGTAATGATACCTTCTTTATGACGCGTTGTTCTTGTCCGTGACATTACGGCCTAAGACAGAGCACAAAGGTGACAATATTTTAGATGTACAGGATTTGCAAGATAGAAGAGTTTTTTAACTGGAACCATCTGGTCGCTGTGTTTAGGAATACATTTTTGTTGATGTTACCGTTATAATTATATAACGACTGTCTACTTCCATGGAGAAAATGGGTGGGCGCCTCCAGAACAGAAAGTTTCCTCCTGTTTGATAATGATGCAAGATACTGCAGGGGTGTCAATTTTTGTAAATTATTGGGCCCAACCGAAGGCCCGACAACATTCCCCCCCCCCACACACACATTTTCTCGCCAGATTTAGCCCACTTTATTTTGATTAAAACAATATATGTTTGATCTTTGTATAAGTCATAAAATCCTTAATTTAAGCAACATAGCAATTTAAGCAACATGCAGGGCTGGATCTGGGGTGCAAGCACCGGACGCACACCTCTCTTCTGATCGACACGTGAGGGCGCCACTTTAGAGGCCACCTTAGGGCGCCGATGGCGCTCTTCTATGGTGGTTATGGGAGGCAACACGCATTTTGGTTGTGGGGGATGGGGACGGGATTAGCCATGAAGGACTTGGGTCATCCCCATATCCCAGAGTTTTTCACTTCAACCTCACGAACAATTGCGTGTCTTATGACGCTAGGGATGTGAAGCTTATTGCACCGTTTATCCGCTCAGCTGTTACGATTTGTATCTTGTGGTGAGATCAGCCATGACTTTTTGTTATGAGAGTGGTACGAGAGACCACAACGCAGCAGGATGAAAGAAGACAGTCATTCTGTTATAATCATTTTTTTTCTCACGTTTTTTTGTAGTATTCCAGCCAAAGACATAGGGCAAGCGAGCATTGGGGGGCCAACTCAACATGGGGGGTCAGGGCCCTCACAACAGAATACAAATCGACGCCCGTGAGATACTGGAATTTCTGGTGAAGTCGACTCGTAAGATGTTAAGGCCGTGTTCTTTTCTCACGTGATCTGTAGGAGCATCGTCAGCCAAGTGCATCGTCAACTACATTGGGAGTGTGGCAGTAGTGACACCAAAGTAGCTTGCTTGCTGTAGGAGCTTGCGACCTCCTATGTCATAGTGGATCCGGTAAATAACGTTGGTACGTGCTCACCACTTGCTTTCCGGCCGGCCCCGGAAATCATGTCATAAACTGTGGAAAGTTGAACTGATAGATAGCTACTCAGTGGGTTTGCCTGTCGCGGGCTCAGCAGTGGGACAAGAGCCGAGAGAAGCTAGGCGGAGGCGCACACTATTGCTGATGACTTGCACGGCACCTTAGCAAAACACATGCAGTAGCGTATGAAACGGACGCGCCGCGGCGCTGGGAGCGCGCCAATCGGCTGCAGATGTCGTCCCAGGTCAGCGCGCGGCAGCCCACTGACGACTGGCGCGTCCAGCGTACATACCTGGACGCAGATGTTCAGCTACAGTCATGGCAATCAACAGAGTAATACATAATACATAAAACATAAAACATACCCACCGGTTCGACCACAGCGCCACCTACGTGGTGCGATCGCCGGCAAGCCTGGGATGCCATGTACTCACCGGACGGCTGGCCGTCTCCGTCGTCCTGACCTCTGAAACACACCGGTATTATTTGCCATGTGTGCGACAAAGGACCAGGGGCGGCGGCAGCGTGGGGACGGTAAACTTGCAGAGCGTGGGGGACAGAGCACCACAACTTCAGAGGCCCTAATTTGTTGAGCGCATGCAAATGCCTTCCACTGAAGCGAGTAACAGCACACAACCTTAGACAGAACGCTAAAAATACTTCACATGACGCTTACAGCGCCATGGACACAGTCAACCACGCACACTAAGCGATCATCCTATCAAAACATAGCCCCTCGAATCTGCAGACGCCAGAGCGCACGCTTCCCGCTTCTGTTTCCAAGCGCCTTTCCAACGTTTATCGGCAGTTGCTCCGCGAAAATTGAGCTTTGCATCTATCTGCGGGGGTCAGGTCTACAAACTTTGCGTTGCCCCTCTCCTTGTAAGGGTGCTCGTAAGACTTCATCCACGGAACTTGCTGGGTTGTCCCTTACCCCACCTCCCAAAATAAGCCTATCCAGCTCAGTGCGCAATTTTCTCCGCGACGTTGTTGCCAGACAGGACTCCAGGTGGTTTTCTGTGTCGCACACCGACACAACCTCGCGGGCCAGGCGGACCCCGTTAGGATGGTTGCCAGGAGACCCCTCAGCGGCAGTCGGGTAGATCTTCGTGCCTGCCCCAGGACTCATGCCCAGTCCCGTCGCATTGGAAACCAACCGTCCTTCCACCAGAGCACGGGATGCGTGCGCTGGGCGCGCGTTACACTAGCGCTGCGTGCTCCTGCATTAAAACTGCATGCACAGACTTAGCTCGCCGCGTTTGTTAAGGGTTGCATTCGAGTGGCTTGCCTAATGTGAATATGTGAAACTTTGTGACTTCAGACTTTGTGAATCACCTGAACAGGTGCATCAGGCCGTGCATCAAACCCAAATGAAGGCGGACCCTCAACTCACGCCGCCAATCCGTGTTGATTTACGGTTGTTTCGCCGAATGGACGTGGACTCCAATTCGCCCTGTTGTTTGCGCCGATTTGATTCGTCTGCCGACAGGTGGGGCGCCGTGACCGGGGTCGGCGGCGCTGATTGGCTCGCTGCCGTTCTCACCGGCGTCCGTCACCCTGTCGATCAGCCGGACAGGCCGGGCCGGGGGTCGGCGAGGTCGGTGGCCCTCCCGCCGCCACCCAGCCGCGTCACCCGACGTCCGCCCGCCGCTCGGCCGCCGCGGTAGCAGCAGCACACGCTCCGCTGAGACGGTCTTCCTGGAAAGAAAAATTGTCATGTTCTGATGCGAAGTCACACCTGTAGCTGGGTCGTACACCCCATTAGGAAAGACCACCTGATCGTGAGGAGCTCTGTCGATGGGGTTTGTAAGGTCTCCATCCAGTCACCAGCTGCAACAACACCGGTGTAATGCCGAAGCCAATCACAGGCCATGCTATCGGTAGGTTATCTTCATGGCTGGCATACGTTGTTCCAGTTTGACTGCGTTGGCACTGCTGTAAGGTGCGATTGATTTCCTTCGTGCCCACGTCATGGGGTGCTAACGTAGGAAGACGAAAAGTTTCATAAAACGAAATTTCGAGCCTGCGGACCTACGAAATAACCCAACCAAAAGTACGAAGCAACCTCCACTAATGCTACTAACATTGTGATGTGACTGCCACTGTGATTTCACTGCCACTGGGATACCACTACCACTGCAGCCTCAGTTACCATATGCGTGCTCACCTTGTCATGACTTTCCATGGAAGTGATGCCGAAGACCGGCGCAGATCAACACTTCCTCTCTGGAACCGTCCGCCTGCCTGCCTGTCGTGACCCTCACACTATCGCCGCCAGCCGTGACCTATGCA